ACTGTCTGGGTGGGGCTGATGAAAGGAGATGGGGATAGTACTAATGCGGCACAATAGTGAATAATTGCTATCATGACTAACTGTGAGGGTTGAAAATGTAAAGTAGATGATGTTATGTAGCAAAAGGAGGGGAGTCGTTGACTTTGCAGTCCAGGAGCGGAGGTCTCTGGGACCATCAAGGGAAAAGAGCAGAGAGCAGGACCCTACCCGGAGAAGCAGTGCCACCAGAGAGGAGAGACGGAGTGGGTGGGAACTCTAGACCCAGAGAGGGAGAGGGACTGTGTACTAACGACTGGGGGGCAGGCTTGCCGGGTACATCCTTTGGTTGGTTGATGCTGCATGGAGGGGATTGTAACCATGGCAATAAAGCAATATACAACAGGATGAACGTAAAGCTAATGTTCTCCCATGTAAACTATCACATAATTCAAAATGAAAGAGATAAAAAAAATATGTATGACCATTTCCTCACCATATTCTTCAACATGTTCAATGCATAACTTCACAAACTTTGGTACTGTGCCATTCTCTCTCTGACATAGATTAGCAAGATTGGCTCCAAATACCTGATCTGAAAGAGATTTAATTTTAAAAACAAATCACCTTGACAAAATTTAGCTCATAAAGTGACTAAAACAAAGCAATTCCTTACCATGACTTACCTTACATTGTATAATCTGTACTCAGCCTACCTCTTAAATTCCACTTCATACAATCTTTCTTCTCCATGAACACCCCAACTCATTCCTGCCTGAGCACCTTAGCATTTTCTATCTGTTTTGTGGGGAACACTGTTCCCCCAAATTTGGGTCATCATTCCTGGTGTCATCGGAACTAACTCCTCCTCTCAGGAAAACCTGACAAGTTTAAGATGACCTGATCGTAGTCATACCCTATTTTATTACCTTCTTAGTTTCTTCATAGGAATCACCACTGTCTTAAATTATCTAATCAACTCATTTTTTGGTCTGTCTCCCACTTGAACACACACTCTATTAGCGCCAAGAATTAATTTGAAATTCTTGAATTATAGGTATTCAAGGCATATAGGTATTCATGACTGCCACTTAGTAAAAACTCAAAAACCTTTCACTCAAGCATGTGTATGCCACCCATTAAGTGTCAACATTTGACCTCACAAAACATATTCCAAATGTGTTCTTTTTAATCTTTCAGCACAAGTTTTAAACTGAACATTAGTGCAAAATATCACGAAAACAAAATATTTGAAGTGATATATAAAGCCACACCACGGCAGCAGTTTAGATTTCTCAAGGAAAAACCATAGTAAACAAATTAGCAGTAGTTTTGTTCATTTGCTTGTCAGACTTTTTTATATAAAAGCTCTAAACAGTGGCTCCATATAATAAGCACTGGACTGCGAATCTCAGAAATCCTATACGGGGTCACTATGCATCAGAACTGACTGGACAGCACTTAATAACAACAAAGCTCAGTATCAGGACCCCTAGTAGCACGTGGTGTGGCACTGTGTGGTTAGTGCATGAAACTGAAAAGTCGGTTTGAATCACAAGGTTGGCAGTTCAAGTCCACCTGCCGCACCTCGGAAACCCTATACAGGGTCGCTGTGGGTTGGAACCAACTTGAGGGCATTTAACAACAACAAGTAGCACAGTGGGTTAAGCATTTGGATTTAAGGTCGGTGGTCTGAACCCACCACCTGCTCTGTGGAAGGAAGATGTGGCAGTCGGTTTCCATAAAGGTTTACGGCCTTGGAAACTCTATGGAGGTCTCCACTGTCCTGGAAGGTTACTCTGAATTGGAATCCATCAACAACAGTGGGGTTTCGGGTTTAAACTCCAAAAGCTAAATCCATATACTTTATCTAGGAATACCTGTTTACCAAAAACTCAAGGTTGCTAATTTGAATCATTCAATTACATAACTCTTTCTAGGCATCTTTTAAATACCTTTTTAATGACACTCATTTGTGTACTTTAATATAGATGATTTAAAAACAAAAGTTCCAATGACATCTTTGTTAGAAACCCATAATCGCATGGCTGGATGGACACACACATTATGTATCACTTTAACATGTAGCCATCTATTTATCAATGTCTGTCATGGCTTTGAGTCATGTATTAGAAAATATAGAATCTCAGGAATTTAGACTTACGCCTATGAATCTAAAGAACTATGGTTATATGAGATTTTAATGGATCTTTCTGATTAGAAAAGAGCCACTTAGTGCATTTTGGTACTTATAAACGGAACTTATATAATTAGAAAAAAACACGTGATACTACTTTTTATACTACCTCATGTGAGAACTGAAGAATAAAACAGGCTTGTTCATTTTGGTTTTCTTCTCTCCTTTCTTAGTATAGTTACTAGTGACTGTGGAGCCGGGTTTACTCGCAACAACCCACCTGTGTCAGAGTAAACTGGGCTCTACTGCTGACTTTTTGGGAATACTCACCAGACCTTTCTTTCAGAGGTACCTCTGAGTAGCATCTCTAGGTGGACTTGATGAACCCGCAACCATTTGGTTAGCAGCAAAGTGTGTTCATTGTTTGCACCATAAAGAGACTCTTTCTTAGTGATAGTTTATTAAGATTTTCTAATTTCTTCTGACCTTTGCATCTCAAAATTAAAACTCTTTATTGTTATGACTTGTAAAATTCTGCCACCCATCATGTCAGTGTGTTGTTGCTGTTGTTATGTGCTGTCAAGTCAATTCTGACTCAGAGAGACCCTGCATTAGGTTTCTCAGGAGTGTCTGGTGGATCTAAACCACCAACCTTGAAGTTCAAACCGCAGGTCCAGTGTTTATCCTACACACCAGGACTTCTCTGATACAGGTTTTCCAAGAAGCTAGTCTGGTGTTTACATCTATTCAGTGCTTCAGCCAATTAAAAAAGAAAAAAAATCTCATGCACTTAAAAAAATAAACTTCCGTTACTCAAATGTATTTTAATCACTTTAAAAACTTTATGAATAAAAATAGGAACATTTTTACTGATTGGAACTTTTAATTTGAAATGTCTTATTTCTGATTTTGGCCAAAGTTCATCATTACTGTAAACATGACTTCTACCTACCTTTAATATAACCTTTTTCACGAACAGCTTGCAAAGTGGGGCGTCGTGTAAGAAACTTTTTTAAGTTTTTCTTGGTTTTTTTCTGTTCCGAAGAATCTATGATATATACTTTTAAGGCTTAAGACAGAAAGAAAGATACTGAGTACTTCATAAAAGAGTAACTTTTTTGGTAACAAAGTTTTTCCAACTTGTACTCAACACACATTAATCTCATATATAAAAATTTCCATTTTTCTAACTTTCATGTGGTTGAAAGTAACACGTAAAAGATCAAACTAATGCATACCCAATTTCAAGGTTATAAAAAATTAAACAGCTCATTTTCATCTGACCCCAAGCTGTCTTTTGTTGGTATGTGTACTGAGACATTCTTAAATTACGCTAATTTAAATAATTATTTCACAAATGAGTCCATGCATCTTCTTTGAATCTATCAGTTTGAGAAGGTAAAATGAACCTTCCCCAAAAAACATCCAAAGAACAATTAAAAAGTCCCTCTCCTTAGTGAACCTAGGAGTCTGGCTATGCATCCATAACCGCCACAACTCTTGATACTTTAAGCAAAGTCTCATCATCGTGACTTTTATTAAGAATGAGAACATCTGTAAAGTATAAAGTCTCCTCTTTAATTGACAGAATTTTAATCACAAAGATACACTGCCTTTATTTTTTAGTTACAACAAAAATGCAAATAAGTAAATTTCCTGAATATAGCTAAATTTTGGGGAGACTCAGAGCATAAACAATATATTAATAAAGAATAAAAATCATGAATTTTTCATATGTTTACACTCTTTTAGGGTGACCAGGTCAATTAATAGCTCTAGACTTTAGTGAGATGTGGGAGAATAGAGAACTGATTTCCTCGCTATTTATCATTTGAAGAGTTAAACCTGGATTCGTTAAGAACAGATTTATCAAAGTGAAGAGTCACAGTTTACAACCGCGCTAAAAATTTTAGAAAGGGCTGCGTCAGAAAACGCTGTTCTTCAAGCTGTTAGTCTTGCATGGACCTGTGCACATGCACAGACAGATCCTTAAGTCCACAGATGGCTGCCTTGTGGCCAGTAAAGAAATATGGCATTTGACCCAAGACTGTTGACTTCTTAAAGCATAAGTTCTATGTAGAATCTTAAATATCAACTATTTTATTTTAAGTCAATAAAGTTCCGTTCCCTAGAAATCTCAACAAAAGAGTACTGGAGTATGTATTTTCTTCCTCCTGACTTATCAAAATATCTTCAAATTTATAAGATATGATGGTGTCGGGATGCATACCATGAAGCTGAAAAAGAATGAGTTCATAAGAAGAAAGAGTACTGAAACACTGAGACTTGTAATTCATAATCATAACTTTAAAAAATAAAAGACAGACTACACTCACCTTTAATATAGTTATTTGAAAAGTTAACAGAATAAGCTCACTTAAACCATTAGCAACAGGAAAAAACAACTTACAACGCAGCTTTTTAGGTTCCTTATGGTCCTTTTCTTTATCATGCTTTTCTATTCCTGGTGAATCTGGGGTCTCCTCTTCAAGTCCGTCATCATTTTCTACAGCCTGGAGGTTAGATGTTTCACAAACCTGTATTACTTCTAGTATTACTGTAGTCAGAACAGCCTAATTCTCAGAACAGTCAGTAACTGATTCTCCTAAATGAGCTTTAGGAAAGCAATTCGTCTACATTATAAATGATTTAGATAGCTGATAAAACTTTGGAAGTATTGTTTCCCAGATGGCACACAACTTCTGAATTTCAGTAAAGAAAATAACAGCTGATAATTTCCTCTATAATGGACCTCGCTGGTAATGAGGTTTACCTTTACTCATTTTGATCAACTGCACATGTGAGACAGTGATAACAAGAACAAGGGCCTGTAAATCTTTTTCCAGAGCAGACAGCCTCAAATCTTGCTCCCACAGAGTGGCTGGTGGGTTTGAACTGCCAGCCCTGTGGTTCACAGTCCAGTGCTTATCCTACAGTGCCACCACAGTTATTTCTGAATATCAACAATCTTTTTAAATCACATTGTGTGCTAACAGTTAAGCATTACTCACAGACCCACAGATGTTGAAAAGTTAAAGAAAACCTAGAACTCTACTTGCTGTGTGACTCTGTGGGTTACTGCGCTAGACTGCAAAGTCAGTTTGAACCTCAAGGTTGGTGGTTCAAGTTCACCAGTCGCTCCTCTGAAATTCTATACAGGGTCGCTATGGGTTGGAACTGACTCGACAGCACTTAACAATAACAACTTGGTGTGGCGCTGTAGGATCAGCACTAGATCGTGAACCACAAGGCCGGCAGTTCAAACCCACCAGATGCTCCTTGTTAATCCTGTAAAGGGTTTCTATGAGTCGGAATCGACTCAACGGCACTTAACCACAACACAGTCATCTAACCAAGGACACGTTTACAGTCAAAACTTGTACTGACTTTTCAAAGCTAAAAACTATTGTTTTGCTCTCACATGGAAAACTTTACTTCACCTGGAATTTGCATGGTGTGGAGTGTGATGAAGAGCTTTAGTTTCTTCCTGGATTTCCAATGGTCTCAGCACCTTACTGTCCAGCAGCACTATCTACGGCATAACGTGCCTGTACCCATGTGGAGCTGTTCTAGGTTCTCTATCCATCGGGCTCTGCACTACCCGTGCACAGATACCACACTGTCTTTAATGACTACAGCTTTATACCAAGTTATATACATATGACAGTATAGGGTTTTCCATTTTCTTCTTTCAGAGCAGGGTGGACATTCTTAGCCCTTTGCAATTCTACAAGAATTTTAGAATAAACTTTCAAGTTCTCCCAGAAAGCCTGTAGGACCTCTGAATGAAATTCAAAAACTTCAAATCTATAAATTTGTAAAGCATTACTGAATCTTTTAAATCCATGAACATTATTTCTCGTGATTACTTTTTCTTTAATATCTTTCAATAATGTTTTGTAATGTTCCCTGAAGAGGTCTTGCATATTCCTCAGTAGTTATATTTTTTAATATTATACAAGCAGCATATGGAGTCCTGGTGTGGACTGTAAGTTAATGTGCTGGACTGCAAGGTCGGTTTGAACCACAGGGTTGGCAGTTCAAGCTCACCAGCCATTTCTTGGAAACCCTATACAGGGTCGCTATGGGTTGAAACAGACTAGACAGCACTTAACAACAACACAAGCAGTATATATTTCAAAATTTCAGTCTGGAGTTATGTTCCTTTCTCTTTACTTGGCCTATTCCTTTTGGCCCTTTAGTAATTCAATTTTTAAAAAATAGACACTAAAAAACTTACTCTACAAGGCATTCCCTGTCCCATCCACTAGGTTAGTCCTGACTTACTGAGCATTTTTATAGTAGGCTGTACATCTTCTACCATCATAACACTCATCACATTTCATGGCATCAACAAATGGCGCAGCTGTCTGTCTTCAGTTATCTTTTGTCTTTACCTGTAAGCGCCACAGAGAGGTCCAGCATCTGGATGCTCACACTGGTTAAATGAAAGCACGATAGAGGCTTGCTTTCCAGGGAAAGTGAACACATAACTGTGACCATGTGACAGTCCATACTGGGGAGAATACTGGGAAATGCAGATTAAGCTCTGAGCAGGAAAGGAATATAAAATCTACATCGTTGTTGTTGTTAAGTGCTGCTGAGTTGGTTCTAACTCAAAGTGACCCTATGTAAGGTTTCTGAGGATTGGTTGGTAGCTTTGAACCTTTAAACTTGCAATGAGCAGTTACAATGCTTATCCTACAGCACCACACCAGGGCCCCAAATTGACATTAGGCAGTTTCCTATAGCAATGGCATTAGGAATAAATGCGTGGAGGTTTAGATTAAATAAGGAAAAACGTTTAGGAAGTTATTCTTTATATAAAGATGTTATCCTTGGTTTCAGGAATAAATAGGAAGGGACAGGATTCAGAAATATACAATATTATATTCTGCAAAATATGATTTTTACATATAGCTTGGTGATTAATTTGCTAGAAGAGGTAAAAAGTTCAGGAAGAAAGAGTTAAAAAAATACTCAAATTCCAAATCTGAGTGTTTTGAATGAAGTAAACCATAAAATCTTTTTAAAAGAAACTTGGAGAAAATCAAATCCACTCTCTCTACAAGTGAACAAAGTGAAGCTGGCAGAGGTAGTGTTACCTCACAAGTCTCTGATAGATACCGCAGTTTCTACAAAAGCCAGTCATTCCCAACCTTCCTGGCTTCTATTTTAGTTTTAAACCATAACCATTGCCAAAACCAATGCCATTGCCATCCAGCTCATTCCAGCTCACAGTAACCCTAGAGCACTGCCCTATACGGTCTCCCAGGCTGCAAATCTGTACAGAAGCAGACTGCCACACCTTTTTCCCATGGAGCAGCTGGTGGCTGAAATGGATGACCTTTAGGATAGTATAAGAGTGCATAACCACTGAGCCCCCAAGGATCCTATAAAACGAGCACACTTCCATACATCTAATCTTCCATTCTGTCGTTCTGATGATCCTCAGGAGCCATGCCCTCACATGGGGAGGGGGAAGAAACAAGTCTAAAGGAAGTACACATCCTAGTTGCTCACTTCTGCTCTTACTAACACAACTTTAGAATTTGAATTTGAGGTTGAGATTACTGTCATAAAACAAAGAAGTAAGCTTCCAGAAACATAAGGGAACTAGACGCTTCAGGGTAACAGGGGAGATACTTAAGAGAGGTATGGGAAGGAAGACAACCTAATAAAACTTCCTTCATTTCACAATTCTGCCCAAAACATGTTTCCATCAACAGTATTGTACCTAACTCTCTTTCAGTCACTGTAAATACTATGTGCTAGACACTGTTTCACTGTTCTCTTTTTGAACCAATGTCAAATGTGAGTATTACTTCGATTCCATGGAAATAATGGTGATGGAAGCTGTGTGCCGCCAATGAGTTGGTTGGCTCGTAGCGACGCTGTACAGAGTTTCCAAAGCTATAAATCTTTAAGGGAACAGAAAGGCTCCTCCTCCCTTGGAATGACTAGTAGATTCGAACTACTGACTTTGCAGTTAATACCCCAGCTCGTAATCCACTATGCTACAGGGCTCCTTTATATATTATATAAATGAGAATGTTATTTACTAGGCTCTGAAATTTACTAACGTGACCATTGTTTTTACCAACTCTAACAAAATATATACAAGTCTTACCTCGTATAAATTGATATGATATACGCAGAATAGAAAACCAAAAAGCAACCCAACTCAGAAGGTGAAAATATACTGGTCAAACACATACCTGATTACTGATATTACTACTGAGAACTTTAAACCAATCATTAATTACAGTGTCGTTATCAGACTGAATCAGCAGTTCTGTTCCTTGTCGAGTTTTCAGCTTCAGAGAAAGGAGAAGAAAAAGTACTGTTAAGGCTTTCAACAAATAAATTAATACATTTGACTTCAAGTTTACAAAACCATCAGTAGAAAATTTGTTGTTGTAATTTAGTGTCATCAAGTTAGTTCCAACTCATAGCAACCCTATATAGGGTTTCCGAGTAATGGCTAGTGGGTTTGAACCACCAACCTTGTGACCAGTAGTCCAATGATTATCCTACAGCACCCCACCAGGACTCTAGTAGAAGATTAGATGCCATCCATTTAGTTAATAAGGAGCTTTAGTAGTGCAGTGGTTATGAGTTGGATTGCTAACCTCAAGGTCAGCTGTTCAAAACTACCAGCCGTTCCATGGGAAAAAGACGATGCTTTCTGCTCCAGTAAACATTTACAGCCTCGGAAACCCTATTCAGGGTCACTATGAGTCAGAACTAATTCCACAGCACACCACCACCACCGTTATATTAATAAAACAAAAGGTAAAGTAGTACACAGCTATGGAATATCTTTTATTTTAGCATAAAATAAGACAAGCTGAGTTATTTTACAGACCATAATGGTGTGCTTCACAATAAACACTCAATGAAAATCTAGTAATTTAGGATTCCATCACACAAATGCCATAAAACTTACTGAAATCTACTATATTTAAAAATAAGTTAAAGTATCAAAGTCATGAATTTTAAATTAAAATTGAAACATACTTCATTTGTAAAGAACATACTTCATTTGTACATAGACCTGAGAAGCTTTTCTTTTTTTTTCCAAAATGACATTCTGAGACATGCTGTTGTTAGGTGCCATCCAGTCAGTTATAAGTCATAGTAACTTTATGCATAACAGAAGGAAACACTGCCCAGTCCTATACCAATCTCACAATTGTTATGCTTGAGCCCACTGCTGCTGCCACTGTGCCAATCCACCCTGTTGGGGGTCTTCCTCTTTTTCACTGTCCCTCCACTTTACCAAGCATGATGTCCTTCTCCAGGGACTGGAATACGTCTAATATTATGAGAGACAAAGTCTGACCATCTTGGCTTCTAAGAAGCATTCTGGATTTAACTAAGACATGCTACTAAACCTGAAACATGAGCATGTTCTGGAACATGCTACTCCCCAAACATAGTTATCTAAATAATGTTTAAAAAAACTATTCCTCAAAAAAATTATGTGACATTAAGCGGAAAATTACTGGATTGAAGAAAATTATATAGCGTCTCTCCTTCAAAATTTTGATAGTATTGAGGAAATTGTTATTTCATAAGACAGGAATAAAACATAAACTATTTCCCATGGAATGTTTTTCATTCCAGAAACACCTATTGAAATTGCAAGACTATTAACGACTTGCAAGCTGTCATCTAAGGCATGGTAACTGTTTTGCATTTGCGTGGAGCAACAGTTGAAGAAGAGTCAGATACAGAAAGAGGATGTGGAATGTGTGCTAACTGAACAACTCCATGAACAACAGCCTCTTTTGCCGTAAGCCCAGAAGAACTGGATGATGCCTGGCTACCAATACTCAACATTTTGATCAAAGATCCTATAGAAAAATCCTAATCCAAAGGGAAGAAATAAGAACAGAATTTCAAATTCTAAGAATCTAGACTTTCTGGAGCCAAGGGAACTGGATGAATCCCTGAAACTAGGCCATGAAATAATCCTTAAACCTTAAACTAAAAATATCCATGATGTCATCTTAAAACTAACCATTATTTTAATTAGTAAAAGAAAAAATGTCCTGCATCGAGCTCTTTTAAGAGCTATCTATATGACATCACACTGACAACAGCAACTTACAAGATTAGACTGGAACATTAGGGTGCAGTGAGTTCATGTTAATGGAGAAAACTCAGAAAAGGTTACACAACTCTAAGAATAAAATCAATGTCACTAAGCAGTACCTGTAGAAACAAACTGCTGTTATATTTTGATGTGCATATTCTCAACAGCAACAAAATAAATTTAAAAAAAGAAACAAGAAACTGGAAAGCCTTGTATTTGTCATGCGTATCTTTTAAGACAGTGGGTCAACCATATTAAATGTTCATTGCATGTGAACTACTTTGGTTACAGGCTGTCACTCAAAGAAAAGGGAAAGTATAGTCTCTGCTTTAAAAAAAAAATTAATTTTAATCACCTAGTGGGGTGAGTCCTGGTGTAGTACTGTGGGATAAAGGACTAGACCACAAGGTCAGTGTGAAACACACGGCTGGCGGTTCAAATTCACCAATTACTCCTTGGAAACCCTATACAAGGTCACTATGAGTCAGAAGTGACTCTATGACACTTAACAAGTTTGGGGAACAGCTTACAAATAATAATATCCCAAAATAGACTACAATGAATGTTATTTAAAAAGCAAAAACCAAGAAAAATCATCATGACTGAAGTGACATCTGCCATGCATCTTGGAAGACAGGTAACATTTGACAAACAGAGACTGGCATGGCTCAAGGCAGAACAATAAAACAGGAGTAAAAATCACACAAGCAGGAACCTGGGTTCTGTTTGTTGGTTTGGTTTGGAAAACAGCAATTAACCCACTCTGCCTAGAAAAGAAGCCAAGGAAGGACTGAGCCATCAGGCTAGAAGGACTGGTCAGGACTGGGAAGGTGGTGAAGATAGCAGCAAGGATTGCTACCACCTGTATAGGCCCACCCTCTGCAATGTGACTTTGCTGGTCCTCCAGCAATGGGTGGACTCTAATTTTCCATCCCACTGAATACAAGGCTACACCACTGACTTGTAGATTACAACATAACACGGAAAATGATGCAGAGGATAAGCACTAGACTGCTAATCACAAGGCCAGTACTTCATATCCACCAGCCGCACTATGGGAACCCTATATACAGCATCGATACAAGTTGGAAGTGACTTAACAACACTTAACAGCAAGAACAACAGGCCTCAAGGAACCTTGCAGCTTCCACTTTCAACCTTCTGTAACCCTGACACAGCCATGTGAAGGAACCAGGGGTAGCTTCTTTGAAGGACAGATCTTGTGGAGAGAGAAGCTTCCCCAGTAGTCGGCACCAACACACCAGACATGTGAATGACATGTGTTAGACCACGCAGGCCAGTCAAGTCACATGAGCACTGAGTCTTCATGGATGGTCCCAAGTTAAAGCAGCAGCAGACCTACCCAGCTCAGAACAGACAAAACTGAGCAAATGTAACTGTGGTTGTATAAAGCTACTAGTTTTAGAGTTGTCTGTTATACAGCAATAAATACTCGATACAGGGTCATATACTATTCTGGAGGGTTTTCAATGACAAAATGAAAGGTAATAATGGAGGTCTGGAGTGAGGGCCTTAACATATTTTCTAATATTAGACTTGGTAGAGACAGGAAATCACACCAACTTTGTTGCTGCCGAGGAAAAGCACAACTTGTAGAACGTAGGCTGCATTATATATAAGGGGCTTCAAAAAAATTGGTGGGAAAATTCTGTTATCTTAAATCAATTTTTTCATGAACTTTTTGAAATCCTTTCATAGAGTCTGAGATCTAATAATTTTAAGTAAATGAATCCCAGACTTTTTTACACAGCATTTCTTAAATTACAATATAAGCTTGGCTATATATATATATATATATATAATCACAATGAAAGACTATTTCCAAAATAACTCAAAAACAGAAAATCCAATTCTTTACAGTTAAGAAATATGAGTTATACTTAGAAAAAAATTATTACCTCAAAAACATTCTTTTTACTGGATTTATCCTTGGAAGCCATCTCAATTGTTGCCCCCTTGAGGTCCACTGTGAATTCTGGTTTGGACTGGTTACTCCCGAACTTCAATGTAGGAAAAAGGAAAAACCACTATGTGGTAATCATGTATGTGTATGCATTCAAAAAGAATTAAGCTCAACTTCATATTAACATTAACCAAGTAGAAAATCAATTCAAATTCTTCTCTTTCGATATTATAAATGTAATTCCTACTTTACAATTTGAAAATGTCTCAAGATTATGAATATGTAGGTTAATAGAAAAGGAAAAGGAAATGACTGGACTTCTATAGCAACAATAACAGTAATACAAAAATAACAACAGAAAACCCACACCAAAACAATTTTCTACCCATCACAATAGCAAACAAAAGTGGTGGATTGGTAACACTAGATTTGCAAATTTACAAACACATGTATCTTTTGATAACATGTGGTGCTGTAGGATAAGCAGTATATTCCTAATCACAAGGTTGGCAGTTCAAACTTACCAGTTGCTCCTTGGAAACCCTATACAGGGTCACTATGAGTCACAACAAACTCGACAGCACTTAACAACAACAACTAACATATGCCTATGTGAAATAATATGTTCAAAAAGGGAAGACAATATTCTTATATATAAATTCTTATGTATATATAATATCTGGAAAATACCAAGTGACTTTCCCACCTAATAAACATTTCTAATCCTGATTCTGTGCTTTCAAGTTAGTTCCTTGTAGGTTATTTAGGTTGTCAACAACTAACAATAACATGGGAAAACAGAAAACTGTAAGCCCCAGTTCTTTGATTCAGGCTTTGTTAAAGAGTCTGATGCTACATAAAGCTGTAACACCTTAATGAGGAACTGAAAAGAATGGAAAGATAGTTGCCATGGGTGGTTTGAAATGAAAATGTACTTAGCTATCTATTGTATTTTGTTAACTACATAAGAAAAAGTTTAGTAAATTGTAGGAAACTGACATCAAATCTATACTTTAATTCAATTTGTGTTTAAGTCTGTTAACTAACAATCACAGTGTCTCTATGTAATTGAAAGGTTTGGAGGTTAAGACCCCCAAGGACTGCTGAATTGTAATCTTATGGTCATAAAGATTTGTCTATAGGAAATTTCATTTGGTAAAATATTTATTGTATATAAGCATTCATGTTTCTAATCAAATTGTGCCTCTCACTAGAAACAGATCTTGTCCACATACTTGCGATAACGTATTCACTGTGTAAAGTCAACAACTCTACTCTTAACACTTAGTAAGTGCTTTCACTTCACTTGTTTTCCCTGTGACTTTTCACTGCGTGTTTTCAGCCGGCAGGGTAGACTTAAGGAACGTACTACTCATTGTAACAAAACATTAACATTTAGGAATCATGTGGAATTTATTAATGGAATCAAAACAAAATTTAAGATATCATATGGAACTGATCAGTGGACTCAAAACAAAATTTAGAGTATCATATGGAATTTATTAGCAGACTCATAATAAAAACCACAATGAAAAATTTAACTGCATTCTACAAAGTCTTTACCTTTTAAGTACCCTTAGTCATCCAAAGACAAACACAATTACTGTTTCATCATATAACTGTATATATCCATTAAGGCTACGTATGATGGGCACTGATAACTTTCTCAGTATAAGTGACAGATCCCAAACGTTACAAAAGGTGAATATGCCTACTTAACAAAACCACAAAAATTCATTTAACTTATTGTCACTACATGCTCTGTAGATGGTTAACTGTAAGCTAAGAAACACACAGAACAGAGTACCAAATATAAATATGATGACATGAGCTGGCTAGAAAAAATATTTTCAGTCTGGTTGGCACAACTTCTTGCTTATTTTTATTTTAGTATTTACTCTTTTTCAAAATCTACTCCCATTTTCTCTAGCTAAATCACACCCCCATGTATTCATGGCGAGGAAAATATAACATCTGTGGCAAGGGGCACACAACAAGAACACATACAGTGACAGCGGAAACAGGATCAGATTTTACATAGGCGACAGCAGGCCGGCAACTGACAGAATTTTTCCAAGAAGAAAGCAAGAGCTCAGAGTCTGAGCCCTGTTGGCAGAATGACTTAATGGAAAAAGGGAAGAAAATGATGATGTCATAACATGGTACAATGGAAAAATGACACACAAGAGAAAAATGTAACAGAACCAGATAGGCCCCAAATACAATTCTACAAGCAGACACATAACACAGCAAAGCTAAACCTCCAGGTATCTTTGCAAAGTCTAGAATTTATCTTCAAGTACTTTCTGTCTTTGATGTTATATAAATTCATATATTTTACTTTAAAGATGCTTCACATAGGTTACACACTGACCAGACTTGTCTTAGCCAACACTCACAAGGGAAGACTACAGAAAGGTGTCCCGGTCTGCAACTCCACCATCTTGCTGAGCCCCTTTCTCAGAAATCTCTGGGACCCACCTCGTGACCTGCTGGACAAAGTCCTCTGGTCTCCCATCTAGCCTGTCTTTCCTTCCTCTAGGACTGTGGTTCTGAACCAAAGGAAACTTTGTCTCCTAGAGGTCCTGCTGCGGTGCTGTTGGATAAGCACAAGACTGTTAACTGCAAGGTCAGCAGCACAAACCCACCAGTCACTCAGAAACCCTACAAAGGGTTGCCGTGAGTCAGAGCTGACTTGCCAGCACACAACAGGAGACACCTGGAAATGCATGGAGACATTTTTGGTTGTTACATTGGAGGCGGAGCTGCCATTGGCATCTGTGGACATCCTATAATGCTCAGGGCAGCATCCCCCATCACATACACCAAAGCAGTATCTGGCCCCCAAAAGTGACTGTGGAGTCCCAGTATGGTGCTGTGGGTTACTGGACTAGACTGTAATGTCGTCTGAACCGCAAGCTAGGCAGTTCAAGCTCACCAGCTGCTCCTTAAAAACCCTATATACGGTAGCTATGAGTTGGAATGACTCGACGGCACTTAACAACAACAACAACAAAAGTGATTTTATTTGGAGATTTTAAAGCCTGTACAAACAAATTTTTAAATAACAGCAGATATTTGCTTGGTGGTTTTTTAAATATTCATGCAATCTGATGAATGGTGTCTGACAGTGAGCATAGAGTTATGTGATGTCTAGTGTCCAAGCTGTTACCAACTATAATGTAAACTGGGAAGACCAGGGGCATGTTATTCCCCTTCCATAAGCCCTCTATAAACTACATACCCTGTAACATACACCTTATAGCTAAAAGTCCTCAAGCATAACACAATGCTCAGAACATAGCAAGCTTATATGGCTGTTAAATAAGATGCAAGCAATGTTTCAAAGCAGTACAGGTTTCTATTATTGATATATAACAGCCCAGTGGATAACATCTGGAAGGTAGCTATTTTAAAAGAGAAGGAAATGCTCACTAGAGTTTTGGATGGTGTAATATCTATCATCATCGGGATCAACTCAACGGCAGGGAGTGTGGCTTATAGCATCTATGTAAAATTGATCCTATAGAGATGTACACAACAGGTGTGCGTTTCGCTTACTCAATTTTAGCTATGCATGCCCAGCAAAAATACAAAGCATGACATATCAAAGAAAAAGATTCAAATAATGTGAGTGATTCTGTTCAGCATTCCACCCATGGAATATGCCCTGAAGTGAATATTTGATGTTAACCTGTTCTCAAAGTGGATCTCAGTATATTTTCATGAAGTAAATGTAAATGTGATTTTATTGTTTAAGGACACACATTTCTCCTACTATCTGGTCCCTTAACACAAACCACCCAATCTCAACTCAAGAAAAAGCAATCTCTTCAAACCATCTGAGAAAAAAGTCAATTCTGGCTTCTAACACAGCATGTTCCTAAGGGACATTCAAGGGCAACTTTCACGACACGCAAGTTTTGTCTTTAGAGCTTGTATTACTTACTACCTATCTTCAGGTAAGACTTAATTCTATTACATAAACAGAAACATTTAACAACAATAGCTACGATAAGCTACTATTCTCAATAGAGAAACAAGGCTACAATTCTTTAAAATCCTTTTTGAACAACTCTTATTACTGATATAATAGAGCACAGCTTACAACTGACACCAAAATTTAGTATTTGTGACTATACAGTAGCATACACTAAATAAAATGCATTCTCCAGATCCACATATAATTAGATGATCTTAACTTGCTTTAACCTAGGCAATTTAAGCTAGGTTTTCTTTCCTTAATATGTTAATAGGGGAATGGGGAAAACAAACCACTCTGAAGTTTTAAATTTATCATGAAGTAAACACCAAGGACTGAATGTGTAATCAAACATTTCCCACAACCTACATCTGCTTTGTCTTTTTTCAGACTATAAAAATGTGACAGCATTTTATTTGTTTCTATCTGAAATGATATAATATAAACATATTAACTAAAAGACAGAAAACTCAAATAGCAAATCCCTAAATTTAAAAAATAATTTAAAATGCTATAACTTCAAAGCTGGAAATCTTAAACTGATTCTACTACTGACACAGGGTATTAATATACATAATAAAAAGAAATACCTCACATCCTTTGTCAGGATTAGTTTTAATTATGAGTTCTGAACAATGCAAGGTCTTTGAGAGTGGAAACCTTAAATAAAATGCAACTAAGGAACTCAGGTAGCGTAGTGGTAACGAATCAAGCTGCAAACCGCAAGGATATCAGTTTGAAACTACCAGCTGTTCCGTGAGAGAAAGATGAGGCTTTCTGTTCCCATAAAGATGTACAGTTTCAGAAACCCTGTACAGGGTCACTATGAGTCGGAACCGACTCCACAGCACATAACAACAATAACAACTTGTACTAATGGTTGTATGCAGTGGGTATTCACTGCATATCTTTAATTTTAAAAAAATTCTTTAAATCTCATACAAACCTATCTACCTTAATATTATTCCACTTAGCTACTACTCTACCTGTTTTATCTGTACATATCAAATTTTTACTCTTTAAACACCAATAGTTAGGATATAAATGACCACTATTCAGCTTTCTACAGGTACTTCTTTACCACTAATTAATGTTTCCATTCCCCTTCTTTCATTCATTTTCTTTACATAATTTTAAATAAAACATGAGCCATAAGTAGGAAGGAAAAATAATTACACTGTCCTCTAGGAAAGTATTAACATAAAAATAACCATATGTTTTCCTTCAGGGGAAAAAGAGGGGAAAAAAAATTATCAGTTTACTTTACGATATGTCAAACAAACTTTCAATTCTTTGCAATAGAAAACATTTTACAGGTCATTTTCACTTCTCTGACCAAACAGAAAGCAAATCAAAGGATTAGTGAACAAAGCAGAAGAAACATTCTAGAATGCTCACCTTCATGCTCAATCCATGAAAAACTTAGACTGGCATTGGAAGACTAACATGCCCTGATTAAGAACAATGCTACATTACATGGCTTAGTTATAAATTCAGATGACTAAAATTAAATTAAATGCTAAAATATATTTTTCTTTTATCTAACATAAGCCCTATTAAAAAACTTTAAGACCTATTAGCTTGAAAGAAACTCAATATTTGTAAGAGTATATTGGTTATGATAGCTCATAAAGCAAACCAAACATTTAGATTCATTTCATTTTAAATATTCTATAAACCGTTATTGGAGTCCTGGTGTGGTGCTGTGGGTTAATGCGCCAGACTGCAAAGCCGTTTGAACTGCAAGGTTGGCGGTTCAAGTTCACCAGCGCTCCATAGAAACTCTATACCGGGTCGCTATGGGTCAGAACCAATGTGATGACACTTAACAACAACAACAAAGTCATTATTAACACTTAAAACTTAATTAACAAACAATTCTAGAAAATGTGCAGCGTATAGACTCTGGAGCCCAAATGTCCAAGATCTAAACCTAGATTTGACACTTAAGTAAATTTGACACCTCAATATTAACACTTTAAAAAACTTACTTATTTTATACCTCATTTTTCTCACCTATAAAGAGCGGGAACAATAATAATAGCGACTCCTGAGTTGCTCATCATCACACATAAAGCAATTATGACACATATTATGAATTTAAAAAGCATTAGTCATTATGTTATGTACCAAATTATAATATTTTAGAACTGGTATTACAAGTAACTGAGGAGTTGTGCATTAAATTCAAATTTTCTTCTTCTAAAAACTGGACAATACTGACACTGGCATCTGAATCACTAATCACAATGTATCCAAGGAATCAAACCACGATTCATGGAGGAGCTCGCCACAGTATTGTTTGCAGACTAAGTATCTGAAATAGCAAAGTTAGAAACACAGTAAAGCTTTAACATCTGGTCAGAAATATACTGATTCCATAATGCCCTGGTATTAGGTCCTAATTTTCAAAGAAGTGGATAAAACAATCTGTTGATTTTAATAACACAATTAATTAAACCTTTCTAATGATTCCTTCTTCTTATTAAACACAATGCATCCTTAAGAAAACTTTATTTATATTAACAGAATAGCTCTACAATTAGAAAGACTTCGGAAATTACTTTCTGAAATTCAGGTACCACCGGATACACATCATCTAAATGCAAGAATGTACTAAAAAAGGACACTTACCCAGCTTGTGCTACTTCCTTGAGTTTTGGTAAAAAGTAAAGATGAATTCTGCAACACTGCCCAAGAAGACAACCAGTTCTTTCTGTAATTATAAAGGTGACCAATTAAACACTAACCAAGTCTTCCAATGTAACTGTACCATTTAAACCTACTTAGCTATTTCAGTGTCACACACGACTGATCGTTATTAACTGACATTCTAACTGGGTTTGTTAGAGATATAATGTTAATGAAAATGATCATTTTATGGTCCCAAACTAACCATGAAGGCCCCCCAAGTGTGAAATTACACAGATAAGCTATCAGAACACTTATGACCAATGTGCCTAAATATGTCCACACGATATTAATTCAGTGTATCAGGGACACTCATTTATTTTAAAATAACACAAACCAAATGACAAGTTTGGCAGTAATTATTATTCTTGACTACAAATAGACAAATATGCTCACCTCACATAATTCTTTATAGATACAGACAGTTTTAGATTTCTTGGTTTTTCTCTCCCCCTCCTAACCCTGATGTGATGCTTTAGGATCAGCACTGGACTGCTAACCACAAGGTTGGTGGTTCAAACCCACCAGCGGCTCCTTGGACACCCTGTTCAAGGTCACTAAGAATCGGAACTGACTCACCAGCACTTGACAACAACAAGGCAGTAGAAAGTAGATACGCTATAAATACACAACCAATGACATATGGGTTTGACTACTGTTGTTAAGTACTATCAAGTCAGTGGCGACTCACAGCAACTCTGCGTAGGATTTCCGAGGAGCAGCTGATGAGTTTGAACAGCTGACCTTGTGGGTCACAGTCTAATGCTTATCCTACAGCACCACACCAGGATGGACTGAAAACATATTTTTAAATGTTTTTACTAGACTACAAAATCAGCACACATACATAAAAATTCTGAATACAGAAATATGTAAAGGTTTCTCCTTCAATCCACTGTCCAGAGATAAACAAAGTAATGTAGAACTTAACAAGTTTTCCACTTACCTATTGCCCTATCTCTAGAGGTGCAGGCAAGATTCACAATATTCTATCATCAGTGTTCCTATTTAGAATTTTAAGGAAAACATGAGGCTTTCTTCTCCTGTGTAAAGCTTTACAGACTCGGAAACCCTATGTAGGGCCACTATGATTTGGACCTAACTCAATGGCATCTAATAACAACACTCAGCGATTTGAAGCCAATAAGTGTACTCAGATTCCACTCAATTTCTCCTTCATTTTCCTTTTTTATTTATGTATTAAGAGATTTTTGGCTTAAATGCTACTTTCCAACTTGAATTTTAAGTTATTTAAAGTCAGAAGCAGTTTTATTTATTTTTGTATTGACCTCAAGTCAGGCCAGCTGGGTGTTGTCAAGTCAATTCCAACTCATAGTGATCCCATAGGGCAGAATTTACCCATAAAGTTTCTGGATGAAACATTTACAAAAGCAGGATGCACCATGGAATAGTTGGTGGATTTGAACCGCTGACCTTCCAGTTAGCAGCCGAACATTTGATTACCAGCTGAGTGCTTAACCATTGCACCACCAAGACTACTTATCTCAGGCTTAGCAAATACTTTAATTGTTGTTAAGTGCTGTCGAGAAAGTTCCGACCCATAGCGACCCTGTATAGGGTTTCCAAGGAGTGGCTGGTGAGCTTGAATCGCCAACCTTGCAGTTCAACTCAACTTTGTAATCCAGCACATTAACCCACAATGCCACAATAGCAGCTGTATATCAGTGTTTTTGAAAATAGTAAAATAAATTCAAACCAACTTATAAAGATATTCACATCCCGAGAGGTAAAATTAATCTGTCTACTGCAGAAATTCATTAAGGCTTACATTTCTGTCCAACACACAGCCAGTGCTGTGAAAGCTCTACGTTAAGTGCCATCGAGGTGAGGCTGGTGGGTTTGAACCACTGACTTTGTGGTTAGTAGTCCGGTGCTTATCCTACAGCGCCACACCAGGACTCACAGAAAGCTCTATAGATACTCCAAATAAGATTTTCTGTTTTCAGAATGTAGAAGTTAGTATCTACCAACTAGTCTTACTTACTATCTTATTACTTTCTATGGCTACATGAACAGCATGGCTTAATAATAATAACATGACTATTAGATTTTTCTATTTAGTCTTTTTCTTCCAATGAGTCAATATGCTTCTTTAAGAAGAGTTCATTAATTTTTATTTACATACTAGCTATAGAGGAAGGCATCCTGGTGTGGTACGCTTGTGGGTTAATGTGCTAGACTTGCAAAGTTGGTTTGAATCACAAGGTCGGTGGTTCAAGCTCACCAGCTGCTCCTTGGAAACCCTACACAGGGTCGCTATGGGTCAGAACTGACTTGACAGCATGAAACAACAATAGTAAAAGAAAGTTTACTATGGATGTTAATATTTTTTCTTTTTATTCCCTGTAGTTTTTGCTTTGGTTACTACTACTTTATTTGGTGAATGGCTATATCTAACAAATAGATCTTTAGTGGCTATTTATTCACAACATTATACCACTGTCAAGTACCCATCTCTGTGTGGCTTAATGTTTGTGTCCCACCTACCACCCCGTCAACTTGGCTATTAAGATCCCTATTCCTGTTTCACTTTTCATACCTTTGACATGCTCTTCCTCCGCCCAATCTGAATCATTACTTTTTTAAGGGGTCTCCTTTGTGTGTATTTAGATGAGTTTTGCTTCGTGCTTCAGTCTGTTTTCTTTCAATAAATGAATATAGTTCATTGACATCTAATGATATTGACATGACAGATGTATCTGGTGCATATTCTGTGATCATTTTGCTACACAATTATTTTCTTCCTTTGTTTGGTGGATCTCTTAAAATATATGAGAAAATTGTGTATTTATCTGTAAATTTATATTTGTGGCACTGTAGGATACGTACAGGGCCCCAGGGTCAGTTTGAACTGTAAGGTCGGCAGTTCAAACCCACCAGCTGCTCCTTGGACACCCTAGAAAGGGTTGTTATGAGTCGGAAGTGACTCGGTCACACTTAAAAACAACAACTGTATTTTTTAGGTAGCATCAATTGACTCCTACCTACGAAAGCTATTTAAATTAGCATATTTCCACTAAACATTTAATTTTCAGAATCAGCCTCTACCGATTGTGTTCAAACTTTGAATAATATGTCCAGAAAGTGTAAATAAAATATAGATGTTGTTGTTGTTGTTGTTAAGTGCCGTCGAGTCGGTTTCAACCCATAGCGACCCTGAACAGGGTTTCCGAGGCTGTAAATCTTTACGGGAGCAGATCGCCTCATCTTTCTCCCGCGGAGATAACATTCTTTTTACTACAATATAGTAAAACTAGAAAATAATACAATTAGAAAGCTTTCTGGTGCCATATATATTTTATCATTTAAGTGAATGTCTATTTTGATGTGAGAATTATTGACCATTTTTACTAAGAACAGATATTAAATGTTATCAGTAGCCTATGGAACATCTATGAAACTGATCATAAAATAAATCTCTTTTGATGATAGGTTGATAACCTATCACTGAACACTCTCAGTATGCCCAAAATAAACTCCATTTGATCATAATGAATTTTTGTTATATTCAGCTTGCTAAATTTTTATTTAATAAGAGTTTTACTAAAATATAATCTAACAATCAAAATTTAGATAAGGTTGTTGCCTAAGTTTTAAAATTTCCAAATAGCATGGGTTTTGGGGTTTGCTTTAGTTGAACTGTTTCTGCCAGATTTAGAATTTGGAAGTTGTTGGGGTTTTTTTCCAGCACTCTGAAATAGCTTTACATATACTGTAATTATCTGTTCCTTATTCTTTAGTAGAATCCACTTGTACAACTGTGTCTTTATTTTTATCTTTTTAAGGATAAGTTTGCAGACAGGAAGTATCCTGGTGGCACAAAGCTTAAGCAGTCAGCTGCTAACAGAAAGACCAGTGGTTCAAACTCACCCAGCAGTTCTGTGGGGAGAAGACCTGGAGAAATGTTCTTGTAAAAATTTCAACCTATGAAATCCTATGAAGTTGTACTCCTCTGTCCTAGAGGGTCACCATGAGTGGGAATAAACTGACAGCACACAGCAATGAGTGAAATTAATGATCTGGCCACTCTTCCTGTTTTTGTTGTTTTTCCTGAGAAATATCTTTTGGAATACTTTTGGTACTACTATATGATTCCTAAAAAATAATTTATTTCATCGTTTTCAAAAATTTACACAGAATTATGCAAACTAGTTTGGTTTGAAACATTTTTTTCCTGTGGCAAAATATTTAACAAAATTTGCTATTTTAATAATTTTTAATTGTACAGTTTAGTAGCACTAATTATAGCCATGGATCCCTGGTGTAGCACTGTGTGGTAGCCAAGCAATGGACTGCCAATCGCAGGCCTGTGATTCAAACCCACCAGTTGCTCCTACTAAACCTATCCAGAGTCACTATTAGTCGGAACTGACTCAATGGCACTTAACAGCAACAACAATTATATTCACAATGTTGTGTGATCATTATTACCATTATCTATTTCCAAAAAAATCTACTAGCCCAAACAGAAACCTGTACCCATTAACTCCTCATTTCTCCCCACACCTAGTTCCTGGAAACTTCTCATTTATTTTCTGTCTCTATGAATTTGCCTATTCTAGGAATTCAAAAAAGTAGAATCATACAATATTTTTCCTTTTGTGTCTGGCTTAGTTCACTTAGCATAATGTCTTCAAAGTTCATCCATGCGGTGGTGTGTATAAGAACATCACTCCTTATTATGACTAATTTTATTTCAGTGTATGTTTATTTCATATTTTGTCTATCATTATCTGCTGATAGACACTTGAATTGTTCTACACCTTTTGACCATTGTGACTAACAATTCCATGAACTTTTGACATGTAAGGTATCTGTTGGAACTCGTTTTCAATTCTTTCAGATGTATACCTAGGAGTGGAATTGCTAGGTCATACGAGAATTCTCCACCACTCGTCTGTCAGTTTGTCAAACTGTGGTGGCTTGCATGTTGCTGTGATGCTGAATGGTATGTCACCTTTAGTTGAAATACCCACAGAGTCACCCATGGTGAACAACAGGTTTCAGTGAAGTTCCAGACTAAGCCAGACTAGAAAGAACGAGAGGTGGACTACTTCTGACTGGCTAGCCACTGAGAATCCATGAAAACTGGGAGTTGTCAAAAATGAAATGGAACACAGAAACATCAATATATTAAGCACTGCTGTTGTTGGTAAGTGCTGGCAAGTCGACTCCGACTCACAGCAACCCTGTATAGGGTTTCCAAGGAGTGGCTGGTGAGTTTGAACCACAGTGATTTATCCCACTGCACCACACCAGTACTCCGTACTAAGCATTATTAACTTGTCTCCTTGTATGCGCATAAATTTCAGAGCTAAAATGGACAGATATTGGCCATTTTGAATTTGACAATCATATGGTTTATTACACTGGGAACAAACTGAAGAGAAACAGTATCACATTTACTATCAAAAAGAAAAGTTCAAGAGCTATCTTGAAGTATAATGAATGATGTTGGTGATAAGATAATTAATACTCAGATGCATACAAGGAAGACCAGTTAATTAATACCACTATTATTGAAATTTACTCAACAATCTCTCCTCAGTGATAATAAAACTGGAAAATTCTACTGAAATTGATGAAACATGCAATTAAGATGTACAATCATTAGGATGAAAATGTTGAAAACAAAGAGGAAGCATCGGTAGTTGGAAAACATGGCCTTGGTGATAGAAATGATAGGAGAGATCACATGACAGAATTTGTAAAGATGAACGACGTATTCACTGCAAATACCTCTTTTAAACAACACAAAAGGACTATACACATGAACCTCACCAGATGGAATACACAAAAATCAAAGTGACTACACATCCATGGCAAGAGATGGCAGAAAACCTAAATATTATTAGCCAAAACAATGCCAAGGGCTGACTGTGGAACAACTATCAATTGTTCATATCCAAGTTCAAGCTAAAGCAAAAGGGAATGAAAAAAAAAGCCATGTTCATGAGAGCCAAAATATGACCTTGAACATATCCCAGCTGAATTTGGAGATCATCTCAAGAACACATTTGCTGCATTAGACACTAACGACCAAAGACCAGAAGAGTTACGGAGTAGCATCAAGAAAACATCACACAGGAGAAAGTAAGAGGTCAGAAAAAGACAGGAAAGAAGAGTTGAAAATGGATGTCAGAAGAGACTCTGAAACTTGCTGTTGAGTACAGAGAAGCTAAAGTGAATGGAAGAAATGAGGAGGTAATAGGGCTGAACAGAAAATGTCAAAGGACTGCTTTAGAGGAGAGAATCAAGTATAATAGTGAAATGTGCAAAGACGTGGAGTTAGAAAGCCAAAAGGGAAGAATACCCTCAGTATTTATCAAGCTGAAAGAACTGAAGAAAAACTGAAGCCTTGACTTGCCATACTGAAGCATTCTATGGGCAAAACATTGGATGATGCAGAAAGCATCAAAAAGAGATGGAAGCAATACACAGAGTCACTCACCAAAAAGAAATGGTTGATGTTCAAATATTTGAAGAGACTGCCTATGAGCAAGAGCCAGTGATACTGAAGGAATAGGAATAAATCCAAGCTACACTGAAGACATTGGTGAAAACTAAGATACCAGGAATTGACAGAATACAAATTGAAATCTTTCAATAAACTGAAAAAGCATTGGAGGTGCTCACTATTCTGTGCCAAGAAATTTGCCAGACAGAGCTTCATATCTGTGCCCATTCTAAAGAACGGTGACCCAATGGTATGTGGAACTCATGAAACAATATCATTAGTATCACACACAAGTAAATGGTTATGTGGTATAGTGAATTATCTAATGTCTCTTCTAGCCACAGTCTGTAACTCTCACCAAATAACATTTCTGTCAGAAGAACATCCTTAGAAGCAAGCATGGTGAGACATCATCTCTCATACTCTGGATGTTAATCAGGAGAGACAAGTTCCTGGAGAAGGACACCATGTTTGGTAAAGTGGAGTATACGTGAAAAAGAGGAAGATGACCAAGGAGAGGGGCTGACACAGTGACAGCAGTAATGAGCTCAAACATAACAACAAAGGTGAGGATGATGCAGGACCAGGCAAAGTTTCATTCTGTTATGCATAAGGTCGCTATGAGTCAGAACCGACTCCAAGGCACCAATAACAAAACAATGATTTGGTAATTATGTGCTTAAGTTTCTGAGGAATCATCCAATTGTTCTGCAGAGTAGCTGCACCATTTCAAATTGTCACCAGCCATGGGTGAGGCTGAGGGTTCCAACTGTTCCACATCTTCCCTAACACCTGCTATTTTCCACTGCAGGAGATGTGAAGTAGTGGTTTTAGTAGACGTTTTCCTAACGACTAATGATGCTGAGCTTCTTTCTTTTCACATGCTTGTGGGACATCTGAATATGTTTTAGAAAAAGGCAAAACAGCTTTTTAATTTCCTGTGTATCAGTGGTTCTCAAAAATTTTTGAACTGAGGACACTCAGTACTATTAAAAATTAATAAATCTCTTAAGATCTTCTGTTTAAATATATATATAGACAGACAGACAGACAGACAGACAGACAGCAGATAGATAGTAGACAGCGAGAGCGAGAGAAAGAAACATACAATGAACTTGTAAGTTTAAGCTTCATATTTACAGTAAAAAAGTTAAAACTGTAAGATTTTAAAAATATTTATTGATTCTTTAAAAATGACAAAACTATTTCATGTTAACATGAATAACATTCTTGTGTTTCAAATTTTTTCTGTTTTCTAATACAAAAAAAGATGTTCCAAAATTAGAGTAGCATTGTTCTACATTTTTTCTCCAATGTGTGGCTTACTTTCAGATAAATGAAACACCTTCAAAAGGATCACTGCATATGACATAGCACTCTTACTTTTGTAAAATTTTTCCTACAGGCATATTTACATACTTGCAAAAGGAACTACGCAAGATCATAAAGTATAATGCTGTAACAGCAAAAAATTCCAAACACCCTAAATGTTTACCAACAGGAAATGGATTAAATAATCCATAATACAGTCATATAATGGGAGTGCTGTGGCTCTGTAGGATAAGCACTGGACTGAGAACCACAAGGTCAGTTTAAACCCACAATGGATTTAAACCCATTGGTCTCTCTATAGGAATGAGACTCTCTACTTGTGCAAAGATTTACAGCCTTGGAAACCCTACACAGGGCCACTATGAGATGGAACCAACTTAACAGCACTTAACAACTGTCATACAACGTACAACTATGTAGCAATTGGAAAGAATGTGGCAGCTTTACATGTAATAAACTGGAACCATCTCCAGGATAAACTGTTAAAACACTGTGTTTGAAACCATAATCTATGCACATACAAACATATACATAGTTACACAATCTCTAGAAGAAAACGCTAAAACTTGAGACATAATACTAGCTGCTTCTGAGGAGAGGAGCTAATGAATGAGTGACTTTGCACAAAATATTTTGTTTTTTACTATGTCCAATTATTATCTATTATACAAACACAATAAAAGACAAAATAATTTTAAAAGCTTTCCTCAGTATCCTCTGCCTTAACTTTGAACTTAATATTACCTTAAATATATCATGACAAAAGAAAATTGTAAAGATAATTCATGACAATGTTACATAAATCTTAACAGAAAACATACAATTAGAAATTCTTATGAATCTTTGGTTTCTACTAGAATATAAGTGCATTAGTAATTTATATTTATTTTAATAAGATAAAACACAGGAACATTACCAGTTGGTGTACTTACCGAACCTTTTTCCCATTTTCAGTAATTTTTGTTACATTGAGCAATCCATATTTCTCCTGACCCTATGGAACAGAATAGTACTGTTTATATATCATTCCTATAGACAGTGAGGTCCAGATTCTTACATCTGACTGAATAAAAATGACCAGGTACTCTAGAAATTAGCTTAAGAGAAAAGATGAGTCAGTATGTAATAAAATTATAGAGTACAAGAAGAATATAATTTCCTAGTGCTTCTGTAAACTATAAAGTTTTAGAATCTGCATAATTAAACATCCCTTCTTCTAGCAGCCAGGAGGTACTCGGTTAACAAATGAGATTTCCATATGATGCTGTAAGTCAATCAGTATTGAAGAATTATTTGTGCTTCTGTTCAAAGATGCTATAATAAAGATTACAAAAAAAAAAAAAAAAATTATAGTATTTACTATGATGTTATTTTAAAATTATATACTGTAGTCTAAAAATTACTTAATATGCCAGAATGTAACAATCACTATGTAATATAAATGCAGCAACTGTATTTAATAAATTACTCAAAGGTAATTGGTACTATGCATAGAGCAGACCTTCCTTTGGATAGAAAACTCATTATGTGCTTCATTATGCATATTATCAGTGTTAGACTGGGTTACGCACAAACTGGATTTATTAGCCAGCTAATGTCAAAAATGGCAATACAAGTTCAATCTTCAAACACTATGAGGGTGAAAGCCACTGTGTTAAAGTAAATGTTACCTGTGAACTAAAAATGTATTTTTTATCACTGCTTTTGGTTTCCTATATTCAAATGCATTTAATCTAAATGAGTCAGTGCTTATAATCATCACCATTAGTAAGTGCTGTATGCACATGGCATACAGTAAAATTTACTACAAACAAAACACACATACACACTTAAAAACAGAAACACAAACTCCTCAATTCAGAATTTCTCCAACTACTTAACTGATTCCTTAGGCAGTTTCTTCAGTGCATTTTAGAAAAAATAAATCTTATGTGAGAAATAAATACAATATCGAATAATTTTTCAGTAATTGAAATATATTTGAACATTTTGCATGGTCTGAAAAAACCTCATAGTTACAGACAAAGCCGACAATTTCTAGTGTTGATTCCTATTTTTTGTTTACTGGGAACTTAAGAAATACCCAAATGAAATTTTACTGCAATTTATTCATAAAGCACAGGTTAGATCTCAGACATATACTAGCTTGATACTCATCACAAAGAGCTCTCTGGAGCCTCTACAGCAATTACACAGTTAGACGTATGCACAGGATATTAACGAACATTCTTAATTTACTATCCCTGTCAGAAGCAGAGGGAAATATCCTTCAATGATGTGGTAACTAAGTAACAGCATTAATTGCAGCGGGTGGGCACTGGTTATCTCAGCTAGGAAGCAGAGACATTAGAAGGGACAGCAAGGTAAGAATCAATCAATCTTATTAAAAATGCCAATGCTGGAATTGTACAGGGCAAAGCAGAGGAGGCAGGAAGAATAGATGCTGAATCTGCTATTGTAATACATAAGAGATGGTGAATGCCTGAGTAGGGCACTGAAAGAGAGTGAAGAGTGGCCACATTTGATAACTCAGAAGACAGAATAGACAAGGCTTGGATGTGAGAACAAGAGGCAGATTTGAGAACAACCCCCATATTTCAGTAAATGAATAGCAGTGTCTTCCTCAAGAAAGCTTTCCCTGACCACTCTAAGTAGATGTTCTTTGCCTACCCATTATTCTCTATTAAGTGTAATTACGATCAATTACTTATTCAATGTCAACTCCATCAGGCCCTACACTGGGACCACATGACTGTGCCTCAAACTGTACCTCACATGCAGTTGGTGCTCCATACATATTTGCTGAATTAGTTCACTAACAAATTTATAGTAGTATCACAAGAAGGATCCTGGTGTGGTGCTGTAAGATCAGCAAAATCAGTGACTCAAACCCATTATAGATGCTCCTTGGAAATCCTATACAGAGTCATGAGTTGTAACTAACTTGACAGCACTTAACAACAACATTACAAGAAATAAAAATAAGAGAAGGTTGTTGTTGTTGTTAAGTGCCGTCAAGTCTGTTCCAACCCATAGCAACCCTGTACAGGGTTTCCGAGGAGCAGCTGGTGAGCTTGAACTGCCAACTTTGCAGTTCAAACGGCTTTGCAGTCTGTCACATTAACCCACAGCTTAGGGGCAGTAAAAAGAAAAATTTACATTTTAAAACTTAAGTTTTTTAATTTTGACATAAAAGTGCTGAGAAAGCAGATAAGACGATATAGATCTCGTAAGAAAGGTCTGGAGATCTACTTCCAAAAAACGCAGCCTCTGCTACTGGTAGTGTAGTGGCTACAAGTCAGGCTGCTAACCTCAAGGTCAGCAGTTTGAAACTACCAGCCATTCCGCAGGAGAAAGATGAGGCTTTCTGCTCCCATAAAGATTTACAGCCTTGGAAACCCTATACAGGGTCGCTATGAGTCAGAACCAACTCCACAGCATACCACCAACCTAAAATGGAGGGAGGGCTATAAAGGCATGAAGTGGCTGGCTTACAAGTTTTCAAGAGGGAGTTTACTTTCAGAGTGTTGGGGGGAAAGAGGGTAGAATCCCCACTGAATAGTTTTCTCTTGTCTAGATGGGTCTGGTGAAAGGACATGGAGATAGATTCTTATGATTCAATAGTGAGTAGTTGGTATTTGGGATTGTCACAACTGTAAAGGTAGAAGTTTTATAACATAAAGGAGAAAGTAGTTAATCTTACATTCCAGAAACAGAGGGCCGTTGGACCATCAAGGGAGAAGAGCATGAAAGGAATGTGGGACTCTATCCAAAGAAGCAGTGACACCAGAGATGGAGGCAGAGATGAGGACATGGAGAGAAAGAGAGCAACTGAAGACTCTAGACTCGTGAAAGGAAAAAGGCTGCATACTGGCAGCCAGAAGGCAGGCTTTCAAAATGTGCCCTTGGGATGTTTAACTGATTATATATTCCTGAGTGTTTTTCTGTACATCTCCCCCTCACCCCTACCCCACCCCCCAATAAAAAAAAAGGGAATAGAAGCAAATACTGTTGAATGATGCATGGAGGAGATTGTAATCATTGCAATGAAACGATGGTGTAAAACCAATGTTCTCCCATATCAACTATCACTCAGTCACAATAAAAACAAAACAAAACAAAAAGTATAGAAAATAAAAAAGAAGCTCAGACACTGAAAACCCTACGGAGCACGTTTTACTCTGACACACAAGACCACTATGAGTTGGAATTGACTTGAAAGGCAACTGTTACTGGCAATCTAGATGCACAGCCTGGGGAAAAGATTTAGGCTGATGATTTCATATTATTTCATGTACTTTCTCTACTTAATGATTCAAAATTAACTACTTTTTTGTTGTTGTTTACTAAGATGGCTTTAAAAATACATTGCTGAATCTCATAAAAATGGACAAATTCACACATGAAAATTCTTAGTCTACATATACTTTAAGACTTGAAAGGAAGCGTTACATTAAAAATAAACACAAAAGCATGGTGCAGCGCTGTGGGTTAATATGCTGGACTCAAAGTCGGTTTGAACTGCAAGGTCAGTGGTTCAAGTTTATCAGCCACTTCTCGAAAACCCTTTACAAGGTCACTATGGTTCAAAACCGACTTGACTGCACTTAACAACAACAATAATACCAAATACAAACAGAAAACACTAAAGCTTTGACCAAAAAGATTATAGTAATACCATATTAATAAGTAAGAAAACAAAACTTCAATTCTCTAAGTAGTGGTTACGAATCAGGCTGCGAACCTTAAGGTCAGTGGTTCGAAATTACCAGCCGCTCCGCGGGAGAAAGATGAGGCTTTCTACTCCCGTAAGGATTTACACCCTCGGAAACCCTGTACAGGGTCGCTATGGGTCGGAACCGACTCGACGGCACTTAATAACAACAACAACAAGGAGTCCTGGTGTGATGCTATAGGATAAGCACTATACTGAAAGGTTGGTTTGAACTAGTTCAGCAGTTCAAACCCACCAGTTGCTCTTCAGAAACCCTCTACAGGGTCGCTATGATTTGGAGTCGACTGAAGGCACTTAACAACAACAAAAATAATAAGTAATCATGGAGAAATCTCACAGTTTCATAATCATTTAGTAGGATCCAGAATTTTTAATCAAAGTTACATTTATATTTACTAAAATAGACATTTTCCAATTAAGGCTAACAAGTACAATACACCAAAATCAATAAAGCTGATCAAATCCTTTTCTTCAGTTAATCATGTTATGATCAAACACTAATGAGGATTCTTTTTGTTTAGAAAACGTATACTTATGCAGTGATATAGTGCTAAAAAGAGTCAATAGATGGTGAAACACACAGAATAAATGTACATCCACAGAGACAAAAGTGACTGCCAGATGTTGGCAAGGTGGAGCGAGGGGCTGGAGCAGGACTGTTTAGTAAACTCAGGGGTTACTTCTGGGGTGATGATGTTTTAGAACTCGCTAGAGGTCACGGCTGCACCATTTAGTGAAGGCACTAAGTGCTGGTGAATTATAGTTTTAAATGGTTAATTTTATTTTTCTGAATTTTACCTTAAAAAAAAAATTCTTCTAATCAGTGTAAGTATATAATAGAAGCTCAAATCAGTGTTTAAAAAGGCTTTCAGCAGTGAGTTTCCATCTATGGTGATGGGAATCTGGCAATGACTATGTTTGTAAAACATGATCAGAGAATCTGACAGCACTAAATTGCATACCTGAGAAATGTTAAATGGTCAATGTTGTGCTAGCTTTATTTCTACAGTCAAAAAAAGGCTTTACGATATTCAAAGAAATGAGGAAATTTGTCTTTTATGGAAGAAAGTGCATTATAATCTACTTTTCCCTCAAACTGAGAGTACATTTTAATATCATAAACTTGTTTCTAAATTAATATCCTACAACTTTATTCAGCAAATGTCTTGTAAGCTGCTTTCATGTCAGTTCCAACTCACAATGGCCCGATGTATAAAGGAACAAAACACTGCTCATCCTCAGCTCATGACCATAACTATGTCTAACTCATAGTGAACCCACATATACAGGAGCCAAACACTGTCTGTCCTCATCTCATGACGACTGTTATGTTTAACTCACATATATAAAGGAACAAAACACTGCCCACCATCATCTCAACATCACTGCTATTTCTAACTCACAATGCTCCCACATATAAAGAACCAAAATACTGCCCATCTTCATCTCATGACCACTATGATGCTTAACTCAGTGACTCCAAGTGTAAACCAACTACACACTGCACGTCCTGCTCCACCTTCACGACCACTGCCATGTTTAAGTTCAGCATTGTTGCCACTGTTTCAAATGAAAAACTTTAAAATTCGTATTTTCATAGGTTGTTGTTGTTGTTGTTGTTAGGTGCCATCGAGTCGGTACAACCCATAGTGACCTTATGCACAGCAGAACGAACACTGCCCGATCCTGGGCCAGCCTCACTACTGTTGCCACACTTGAGTCCATCGATGCTGCCACTTTGCCAATCCATCTCGCTGGGGGTCTTCCTCTTTTTCTCTGACCATCCATCTTACCATACATGATATCCTTCTCCAATGACTGGGCCCTCCTGACAATATGTCTGAAGTATGAGAAATGAAGTTTGGCCATCTTGGCCTCTAAAGAGCACTCTGGCTGCAATTCTTCCAAAACGGACCTATTGGTTCTTTTTGCAGCCCGTGGTACTTTCAGTATTCTTCTCCAACACCATAGCTCAAAGGCATCAATTCTTCTACTGTCTTCCTTATTCACTGTCCAGCTTTCACATGCATATGAGGTTATTGAAAATACCATGGCTTGGGTCTCACACCTTAAGTCTTCAAGTGGACATCTTTGCTCTTCAACACTTTTAAAAGGTCTCATGCAGATTTGCCTAATGCAATATGTCGTTTGATTTCTTGACCGCTGCTTCCGTGATTGTTGATAGTTGATCCAAGAAGAATGAAGTCCTTGACAACTTCAATCTTTTCTCCATTGATAAGAATGTTGTTTATTGGTCATAGGTATAATGTGACAAATAGAGACTAGGTTCTTATATCTGTCCGCAAAAAGCCTAGTCCATATTATAGCTATATTGTGAAAATAAAACATTATACTGATTTAAAAAAAAAATAATTTACCCTGCCTATTTCCAAAAGGGATTTGAAAGGATTATGAAAACTTACAATGTTTTTGAAAACTAGCAATAAAACATAAGAAAAGTTAGCATGTTTACAATTTATAATAATGGATGGAATTTTACAATGTGGTCTGATTGCTGTTTTTGTTGTTGTTGTTAAGTTGGTTCCAACTCATAGCTACTCTGTATAGGGTTTCCGAGAAGCAGCTGGTGAGTTTGCTCTGTCAATCTTACAATTCACAGTCTAGTACTGACCCAACAAGCACCATACCATATGTCCATGTAGCGTCATGATCAGATATTTAAGAGGTCAATAGGTAATTTGCAGAATTTTTAAGGTTACACCAGATAGCTTATGCTGGTGGTGGGATCATTTTCCTTATTACTGAAGCATATCACTGAGGAGCAGGCTGGTAACAATGTAGGATAAGCACCAAACTGCTAACCACATGTCTGCAATTCAAACCCACCACAAGGCACGAAGCAGGAGAAAGATGAGGCTTTCTGCTCCTGCAAAGATTTATAGTCTCAGAAACCCGATAAAGGATCGTTATGAGTTGGAACCAACTGGTTACACCTAACAACAAGAAGTTTTACCATAACCAGATTATAAATCACAAGGAAAGAGGGAAAGGTGTACCTTTTTGTCTGAATTGGGTAAGAGAGGCAAGACAGGTGAAACCTTGTCAAGCATTAAGGAGGAGAACACAGAGGGCAGAGAATGAGAGGGGAGAGGGGAAAGGAGAGAGGGAGGGAAGTAAAGAGTCAGGGAACAAAAGTCTCATAGGGGAAGGACAAGACAGGATAGAGGAGGAGCATTCAGAAGAACAAGGAAAAGGAATGTCTGTGTGAAAATAGAATGGTCTCAGGGACAATTAACAGAACTATTCCTTTTTCACCTGCTGGTGATATGGAACTGAGAAAACTGGTGAGGTCCTTCCTGCGCTGGCCATCAGAGGGTATTAGGAGTCTATGATAGTCTAGCTCCTCTCAAACTCTTAAAAAAAGGCAAATGGGGGGAACATAATGTATAAGTAGTCCTTTGCATGTGCAGAGGGAACAAATTTATTAATTCATAAATTCATGTTTCTATGATTACCTAAAGGAGTTCTGGTAGCATAGTGCTAACCTCAAGGTCAGCAGCTCGAAACTACCAGCCGTTACGCAAGACAAAGATGAGGCGTTCTACTCCTGTAAAGATTTGCAGCCTCAGAAATCCTGTGCAGGGTTACTATGAGTCGGAGCCAACTCCATGGTACTTAACAACAACAACAACAGGATTACCTAGACTACCCTTTTACCAAAACAGAAGTAATTTATAAAAGCTCTTTCTAGAACTTGTACATTGTTGTTGTTGCTAACGAGTTGATTCTGACTCATATCGATCCTGTTAGGGTTTCTGAGTAGCAGCTGATGGATCTGACATGCTGAACTTGCAGTTAGCAGTCTAATGCTTTCCTTAGAGGGCCACACCAGGACTCTAAGAAATTGTATGTTACCTATATTTTTAATAAAAGAAGATTTCCTGCTTTTTTCTGGACTGACAAATGAAAAGTATTATAGTTCCAGTACCTCATATTCAAATCATTCTTGCCCAAACCAGTAAAATTATATTTGTTCTTTTGTTTATTTAATGTTTATGTACCCAGTACTTTGCTCCTATTGTTAGTGCCATCAAGTCAGTTCTGACTAATAGTGAGCCTGCACAGGGCTTCCAAAGAGCAGCAGTGGATTTGAGCTGCCGAACTTGTGGTTAGCAGTCCACTGTTTATCCTACTGTGGCACACTATAAAAAAGGATAAAAAGTAGGAACATATATTCCCTATCCTTAGGGAGTTTAAAGTCTTAGAGATCAGGAGTAACTGGAATAACCCTGTACACCGCTCAAGGCAATAAGTAACTTGGGAGGTTCAGAAATAAAGAACAGATCATTACTATGCTGAGGTTAATCTGACAAAGATTCTTAAAAGTCTGTCCAGAAAGAGGTGTAGGGTGTAATTTTATGTGTAGAAAAGTCAAAGTCCATTCCAGGTAGGAGGAACTCCCAAAGCAATGTCAGAAGGTAATGTGTACAACATGTGAAATGAACTACAAAAGACATCATTAGGGTAAGGAAAAGAAAAAAAAAGTTAGAAAAGTAAAACAGTATGTGAGGGTGAAAGAAAATCCTTGCTCCTACAAAATCTTGAAGAATCCTAATAAGTAAGAGTCTATTATGTTCATAAAACAAAGAAAATAATAACAAAAGTTTATCTTTTTTAAAGCTTTAAAAAGTTCCACTTATTAATTCAACAAATATTTACTAAACAGCAGTAGGTACCAGGGATACTCTATAGCTCTATTCTAATAAAGATTTTGGGGGGATTTTTTGGGGGGAGGTTCTACTAGAGAACGCTGACGTTAATAGAGAGTTGGGCATTTCTAGAAGGCATAATATTTATTGTATATGATCAAATGCTATGATGAATATTACTGGGAAACTTGGCCTAATTAGATTAAAGTCCCAAGGGGTCCTGATGTGGCGCTGTAGGATAAACATTCAACAGTTAAGGTAGGTTTGAATCGTACAGTCAGCAGTTCAAACCCAAAAGCCGTTCCTTGAAAAACCCATACAGGATCACTATGAGTTGGAACCAACTCAATGACTCATAACAATAACAACAAAGAGAGTAGTTTGAAGTAATCAATGAACAGAAATTAACCAGATGAAGATGTGGGATATGAAGTGTTCCAGTGAGCCCAAGAAACATGTTCAAAGACCAGGAGTTGAAGAGCATGGCATCTTTGAGGACTAACAGAAGGGCTGTGTCATTAGTGGAAAAAGGAAACAAAACGAACCATAACATGAAATGAGGCTGAAAAGGCAGTCAAGTCCACATTAAAAGTGGTGGTCTTTACTCTAAAGGCTTTTAAATGGAATAGCAAGATCAGCAGTTTACAGGAAAGTCTGGGAGGGACTTCAAACAGAGACCAAGTAAATTTTCATCAAATTTAAGACAGGTATCTGAAGAGAAGTCACTTGGAGGTTTTTTTTTCAGTAGAAAGGACACCTACAGTGGTGTTACATATTTCCAGTAATCATCTGGCACAGACTGGGCAATGTGTTTTTGTTTTTGTTAAGTGCCTTTGAGTCAGTTCCAACTCATTGCAACTGTATAGTTTGAGGCTATAAATCTTAAACAAGAGCAGAAAGCTTCATCTTTCTCCCATGGAGGAGTTAGTGGATTCTAACCACTGACCTTGCAGTTAGCAGCCTAACACACAACCCACTACCCTACCATGGTTCCTTAACATATTTTAGAGCAAACAGAAAAAAAATGCTGCCGGTGCTCATAAGGAGGGGAATGTTTCTTACCTTAGGACTGCTGGACTCAGAGAAAATGGGTAAAGTATAATATGGTTGCATCTTCTCGGAATTTGTATATTTGGTCATATTTCTCTGGGAATTTTCCTATTTATTTTTTAAACCAAATAAAATTTATCAGCTTACAAATATGGTATACAAATTAATCAACCATACTTTGCATAAAAGGGGGCTTTTTAACAATAAAATATGATTCTAATTTGAACCTATTATAACTGACTTAATAAAACTAAAACAATGAACTTTAATAGAAGCCCAAGTAATATTTACACATTAAACTAGAGAAAATTACTTTACTGAAACTGAATGAAATAACTAGACTATATTATATGTTTCTGGTATACTAACTGTATCTTGGTGCTTTGGTGAAGAGGGAGGAGATTCATTTTCAGGAAAGCAGAGTTTTGAGGCAGTTGGAGAGTCCTATAAGAAATAAGTAATGAAAAAGTTACTCTAATTTATTTATTATACTTCTCCCTCTAGTCACATTGAGAGAGCTTAATATGGGAAAGTTAAGAAAAAAATTTTTTCAATATTTCCTTCCACACTGAGCTTAGATAGAAGCTGATATGGTTCTAATTTGCAATAATGCAGATGTTATAAACATTTTATGAAATGGTATACTATATACCACTTACAGTTAAATTGACATACTGCATACAGAATTTGATAAAACTCAAAAGAACTCAATCATGCTGCTTTAAAATGTTACACAAGTCTTAATAAGCCATATTATGCATCAGTAAAATATAAATGCATATGGATAAATATGCCATAGTCACCATTCTAACTTGTTCTTGGTACGCTGGATATGAATATCCAGGATTAGATAAAGAATCGTCACAGAAATTGCTTGACAACTACCAGAAAGAAAACGTTATTTCAGTCAATAGCTGTATAAGAAGTTAAACTATGAAACTTAATTTATAATTAACTTTCCAACTACAAAAGAAAAACAAGGATGAAACCTCTTATTTAAGGATTAATCATTTTTAAATTTACATATAACAAGGAATCTTATAAGACCAAACAAATAAAGTGTGCTTTTGAGCAATTCTTGTCAATATAAAAACATGGCATGTTAGTCTACTATAAGTGTTTAAGACCTACTTCATGGAAGATAAGACTGAAAAAATATGATCTTGATACCAACAGCATAGAGAATTTACATTCTCTCCATTCCCCACGATGCTCTGAATATTTTTAGGCAAAGAGGATTAAAAAATCATCTGCCAGTGTCTGTTATTAATTTTCCAGTAAGAAACAAATAATTTTTTTGAACATTCAACTCTGTTAATCTTTATCATTCTTGTTTTCCATGCATACAGAACTTTATAATATACAGTCCACAAACCTGGGAATTTCTTTTAAATAGCAAATCAAAAAGCTTTAACATTCACTCATCTGGAAAAAAACTCTTCTGTTTATATTCCATATAAATAAAACAGAAACTCTACCTAGCTAACAATAAAAGTTGACATGGAAAACCTCTGAAGGAACAAACTTACAAATCAAACATCCAGGGCCAATACTATTCCACCATCTTGCCAGAAGTCCTCCCCAAGGCCAATATTATTAATGAAGAAAATATTAAAAGTATATATGAAAGAATTTTGCCAAAAATACCATAGTATCCAGCTCTCTGTTGTTGTTGTTGTTGTTGTGTGCTGTCAAGTCTATTCGGACTCACAACGACCCTACAGGACAGAGCAGGCCTGCCCCATCAGGTTTCTTAGGCTGCAAACTTTAGGGAAGAGTCCTGGTGTGGCTATGAAGGGTAAGCACTCAACTACTAACTCCAAGACTGGCAGTTCAAATCCACCAGCCGCTCCTCAGAAACCCAATAAAGGCTCGCTGTGAGTCTGAACCAACTCTGCGGCACTTAACAACAACAAGCATTAGGCAAGGAGCTTGCCAGATCTTTCTCCTGCAAAGAAGCTGGTAGATTCACACTGTCAACCTTTCAGTTAGCAGCCAGGCCCCTTATTTACTGCACCAAGGCTCAAACTATTTAGTCCCACTTCTGACAGTTCCAGAAATTCCTTTTTAAATTATTTGACTTTCAAAAGACGGTTCAATGAATAATAAAACAGTCTGGGAAAAAGAGGAAAGATGTGATGAGCCACAAAGTAAGAAACTGAATAAAACTGTAATTTGTTTCATAGCATTTATCAGTCCTGGAGAACTGAAAACTACGTCAACTGGAATAATTAATATTTAACAATAATTATTATAGATGAGAAATTATATTTATATATTTATTTATATACTTATACATGATATGTGTGTGGTGCTGTGGGTTCATGCACCAGACTGCAAAAAGCTTTTTGAACTGCAAGGTTGGCAGTTCAAGCTCACCATCTGCTCCTCGGAAAACCTATACAGGGTCACTATGGGTTGGAACCAATTCAACAGCACTTAACAACAACAACATATGAACATGTAAGTATATCTTACATATTGTAAAAAACACACAGACATAAACAAACAGATGCATCCTCACATACACACACCTACCTCTTCCAAAGTTATCTGACAATCAAATTAGGGCACTTATCACCAGAGCACTTGCTACACAATACTAAGTTTCTCTGATTAAATTTCAAGTCATACACACTTTGTCCCTTATTCTCATATACTATTCAGCTGGTTTGTTCTGATATAGTCCCTCTTTTATAATCTCAAAGACTGCAAATAACCTTTCTTAAGAAAGTATATTCTAGGTGATGGCAATAAATAAGGAAGCTCATTTGGTAAGGGCATTATCTATGAATCCATTTAAAACAGTGAAATGGGGGGTGGGGGAGGATCTCCAGTCTCAAAAAGAAAATGATGTTTTCACAACTCTGTGAAAATCAGACCAAACAAAAAGTATTAAGAATTTCCTGTAAGGAATTCTAAGTAATAGACTGAAAATGAGTCACTACCAATGGTGGCATTTCTTTAACAATGGTTTTTGCCCTAGAACACTGTATATGGTATTTAGGAGATCTCTACAGCCACTGAAATTACAAGCTGGTTCTTGATGTTCAGTAAAATTTTCTATTAAAAATCTGTGAGAAGATACGTTCACAGATTCATCTCAATGCTAATATATTTCCAAGCACTTAGTAACTGGTATACTGCTTTCATTATCGTACTTTCAGTCCACCTTATAAGACTGAAAGCATTCAAACAGAGAAATACAATTTAAAATACTTTATTCTGTTTTCACTGAAACAATGAAAGATTAATGAAATCTGTCAACTGCTAAATAAAAGGAGTCCTGGTGCGGCGTTGTGGGTTAACGCATCGGGCTACAAAGTCAGTTTGAAATGCAAGGTCGGCGGTTCAAACTCACTAACAGCTCTTCAGAAACCCTATACAGCATTGCTATGAGTCGGAACCAACTCGATGGCACTTAACAGCAACACAACCACCAATATTAAAGTGAATATGGTAATACCCCAAAACAGGGTTATTTCAGAAACATACTTAGCACTGAATCTTCTTTTTTTTTTTTTTACCACTGTTGTTGTAAGCGCCTTCAAGTCAATTCCGACTTGTAGTGACCCTAGGAGCAGCTGGTGAATTTGAACCACCAAACTTATGGTTCAAACTTACCTTGTAGTCCAGCACAGTAGTCCACAGTGCCACATCGGGACTCCACTTTAATATTAGTGTGCCTGAAATTCAGCAAACTCATACTAATTTCACATCCCATCCTCACAACGAAGCCAAATTATAAAGATGTAACATACACAAGAAACAGCTTCTGACCTTTCCATTCTGATGTTTGGATCAAAATTTATTTCCTATCTGAAACAGAGAACAGTATGTCTCAGATTTATAAAAGTACATTACACAAAATGTCCTTTGTTTTTTAAGTGTCTTAAAGTGCAGAGAGGGAGCAGATTGCAATCTTCTTTGGGATGGGGAAAAATAATTAAATGTCAACTACAAAACCTCCCAGAGATTGTAGACGAAAAGATAATAGTAGTGTCGCTTTTAAATACTGCAAGTAAAAAACAAAAAAATTGTCATTTACGCGGCTCAAATGTATAATCATTGTGTTCATCACTAAGCCATAGATAAACGAGTCCATTGGGACACACACAAGGTTCAAAACCAAAACCTATTCCATGACAATTTGATGCTAAATACAATGAAACACCAGGCACCACGGTATAAGATACTCCTAAGGGGAAAATACATGATACAGACACATTTTAGCATAGCAAATCAAATGTTTTAGGTTGTTTAAAAAGAAATAAAATTTAACAATAAACACTACATGAAATGGTGTATTAGTACAAATGGCTACACTTCATTATACAATACACAAAAAAGTTGTCAAAATCCTTAACAAATTTTCTAGAAAGTCCTACCTTGTCATTGGTATCTAATACAATGGTGCTGTGTCTCCACTTGGTTAATACTATCGGTTCTTGCAGCCGCCTGTCCAGGCTCCTACTTTTAATGATTTCCCTTTGCTGCTGAGACGAAGCATTATACTAAAGAAACAAAATATACACATAAGTAGCAGAAATAACCTTAACATGGTAACAAACGACTTGTAGCTTACCATATTATACTACTATAAGCTTTCAAGTCTGTTTTTTCATCTTTGACCTGCACTGTAACACAACTGAAATGATCAGTAATGTAGTGTTAGAGACCAACGTGGTATGTAATCTCCAACAGTTTACATTACCTCAACTATAAAACAGACATATCTTCTTATGGAGTTGTTATAATGATTAAACCAAGCATAAAAGTGCCATCAAGGTCAGAGGTTCAAACGCACCAGCTGCTCCTAGGAAACTCTATACAGTGTCATTGAGTTGGAACTGACTGGACAGCAGCATGTAATGACAACATCATGATTACCAATAAGGTACTCTGGTGGTTCTGTAGATAAGCACAGGACTGCTAACCACAAGGTCAGCAGTTCAAACCCACCAGTCCCTCTGTGGGAAAAAGATGAAGGTGACTGCCCCTATAAAGATTTCAGTCTCAGAAATCCTACACACAGGGTCATTATGAGTTGGAATCAACTCAATGGCTATAGTTTTGGTTTTGGGGCTTATCATTTATAAAATGGGGTCACTAGATAAATTAATTTTTTTTTAAGGTTCTTCTACTTCTAAAATTTAGATGAATTCAATTTCTGGTTTGTTGTTAAGTGCCTTTGAGTCGGTTTGGACTCACAGCAACCCGGTACAGGGTTTCCAAGGAGCAGCTGGTGAGCTTGCACCACAGAGCTGCGGTTCAAACTGATCTTGCAGTCCAGCGCATTAACCCGCAGCATCATACCAGCACTCCATTTCTGGTTTAGGCTTTAAAAATAATGCATCCTTAGTTTCAAGGTTTTGTCACTGCATTCATTTATAGGCCAAACATACCAATGACTATGGTAAAACATAAGCACGTCTAAAGTTAAGAGACGTTTTTCTTGTTGTTATATGCCATGGACTCTGTACTGACCAGTGACCTTGCATCAGATTTCTGAGGAGTGTCAAGTGAACTTCAACCGCCGTGCAGTTCAAACCTACATTGCAGTTCAGCACATTAACTCACTGTGCCACATCAGGAGATAGTATAGTTTAAAAACAAGTGTTGAATATCAATGATATACAAAAGACAGGCAATTACCACCAAGGGAAATCATATAAAACTAAGAACATATTATCAATAAAGCATAAAAAAATAAGTGCTTGAAATACCAAATAGATTTCCACGAAAAAACCATGTCAGAAATGTGAGGTCTTAAGAGTTCTATTGCTTTATACAGGCAATTTTACCAAATTTGCAAGTAATAAATGATAATGAAATGACAAAAGAAAATTCACCTTTTAAATGGGGATATTCTCTCTGCAGCCAGCCAAAGGTTGCGTAACATCTACCTCCCCACTCCAAAAGTCAGCAAATCTCAATTACTCTGATTATAATTTCAGTATAAATATATTTTGGGGAAGTTTTCTTTTAATAGGAGTCCTGGTGGCAAGTGGTTAAGCGCTGTGAATTCAAACCTATCAACTACTCTATCAACTGCTCCATGGGAAAAAGATGTAGCAGTCTGCTTCAACAAGGATTGTTGCTGTTGTTAAGTGCCATTGAGTCACTTCCAGACCCTGAATAGGGTTTCCGAGGGACGGCTGATGAGCTTGAGCAGCCGGCCTTGTGGTCTAGTGCATTAACCTGCAGTGCTTACAGCCTTGGAAACCATACGAGGTAAGTTCTACACTATCCAATAGGGTCAAATTGACCCAGTGGCTACAGTTTGAATTTTTGTTCTTTTCTCTTTAATATTAAAACATCATCCAACAACTATCTCTACAATATATCATGTCTTTACTCCCTAGAATAAGTCCATTCAAGCCCTTCAAAATGTTTCCCAAAGCTGTTTTTCCAAGCTAGAGTTAGGCAATCACATATGGGAACTTGTTTTTAATTCATTGTTCCTTAACAAACAGCAATCTTAACATTTATCAGAGAAGTTCACAAAGAGATCATTCTAGACTATAAAAATCTTAAGTGCCGTTGAGTTGTTTCTGACCCATAGTGACCCCTGTATAGGGTTTCCAAGTAGCAACTGGTAAGCTGGAACCGCCGACTTTTTAGTCCAGCTCATTAACCCAAAACAGCACACCAGGTAAAGAATTCTATCCCAGAAATCTCACATCTCCAAATGGAAAGAGACCCAATCACTAAACAGGGCTTTATTTTTCCCTCAATACAATCATCCTTAGTAATAATTAGATATGGAATGTGTGTAAACTTATATATAAACCTAGTTTTTCAGCCTAATACTTACTAAAATTGTTTAGAAAACCTTTGCCAACAAAAGTAATATAAAGCTATACTGGGTTTTGTTTTTTTGTTTGTTTGTTTGTTTTTGTTTTGTTTTGAAATAAAGGTTTCTATGATTCTGTAGGAGTCCGGGTGTGGTATGGTGGGATAAAGCACCGGAACTTAAGTTCAGCAGTTCAGACTCACCATCTGCTCCTTGGGAACCCTATGCATGGTCGCTATGAGTCGGAATTGACTCACTGCACTTAGCAACACTGGGTAATGGTCACAATGTACATTATGTTCATCGTGTGTCCTTACTAAAAAACAGATGCTGTCGACTCCATCTCAGGTGACCGCATGTGTGTCAGAGTAGAACCATGTTCCAAAGTGTTTTTCAATGGTTAATGTTTCAGAAGTAGATCACCAGGGCTTCCGTCAGAGGTGCCTCTGAGTGAATTTTAACCTCCAACCTTTTGGTTAGCAGCTGACACGTTAACCATGTGCACAATCTAGGAACACCTGGGTACTTTTAAAAACAAAAAGAAGAAAGCTCAAACTAATTGCCATTGAGCAAAATATCACTCGTGGCAACCCCATGTATAGCAGAGTGAACTGTATTCCAAATGGTTTTTTCAATGACTACAATCTTCAGAAGTAGACTATGTTTGGCTCAGTGGCAGGGGCAGGAGCAATGGGTTCAAGCATAACAAGTGTGAGGCTGGCAGAGGACCAGGCAGTGATTCATTCTTTCATTGTGCGTAAGGTCAACAGGAACTGACTCCATGGCACCTGACAACAACAAATGACTGCTATCATTGCTTATAACAGTGTACTGACCCCGATGAAGATTACATTGAAAAATATTTTTTAATTCCATTTTCCACTAACTTTTTGAAATCCCTTCATTTAAAACAATTATTTTTTGTGTGCTAATCTTATATCCTACAACATAGTTAAACTCACTTATTAGGTCTAACATGGTTTTCTATTTTTGTAGGTATTTTCTACAGAAAATCATGCTATCTGCAAATGAAAGCCAACCAAATTCACTGCTGAGTCTACTGTAACTCAGAGGAATTCTGGAGATTATATAGGGCAGAGCAGAATTGTCCTTTAAGGTTTCCGAGGCTATAAGTACTTAGAAAGCAACCTGCCACATCATTCTACCACAGAGCAGCTGGTGGATTCAAACTACCAACCACTGGGAAGCAGCTGAGAGCTTAACCAATGGGCAAACAGGAAGAACTGTATTTCTTACTTTCTATTGTGCATGCTTTTATGTCTTTTCCTTCTTTTAACACTGTTCTGGTTAGGACTTTCAGTACTAAACTAAAAGCTGACATGTGAGAGGGCTACAAAAAGGGAATGAAAAGAAAATGGAAGTTTTCCACAAACTTTCTGAAGCCCCTTTGTAATTCTATTTTTCCCAATTGTGAAAGAAAAGTATTCAAACTTTCACCAAAAACTAAGACATCATCTATAGGATTTTTTGGTTGAAATTGATTACTGGTTTGTTGTAAGGTTTTATCATTAACAGTTATCAAATTTTGTCCAATACTTTGCTCTATCAACTGGGACTGTGTAGGTTTTCTTCTTTAGACTACAGTATGGTAGTTTTGAATGAATCAGCCTTACATGCCAGGAACTGTACTTAATATATGTAGCAAATGATACTTTTTATATATTGCAGAATTGTTTGCTAATATTGTGAAAACACAAACTTATCTAAAAGAATTTATTTTACATTTACTGTAAGCATCAACTTGCTTAGTTAAAATTTAAACTGCAATTTAGTGAAATAGTAATTCTAGAACTTTTTATTTATTATCCCTTTCCTTATTTTCTTATTCCCACTAGACCTAAATAATCCTCCTCTTCACATGCAATTTTATCAGAAGGTCAAGAAAGTGATAAAATTTTTTCTGATACTTTATCCTAAGTGGCCAACAATGCCCACAAATAAAATGCTATCCGGGAACTGGGGACTCATCGCAGATCCTAATCAACCCCATTTCCACTGCTGTGGGTCCTGGGAGGTTTCTCTCTCCTTCCTCTCAAGCTATCTCCTATAGTGAATGTCTCCTAATATTAGACGTGCAATTCTCCTGACCTAGGAAAGAACAAGAGTTAATGAGGAAGTCACTATGAGTATCTGGCCATGGGTTAACATTCCGAACTGCTCCCGTAAACTACTCTCTCCACTGAACTCTGACTTCGGACAAATAACTCAAAAGAAGCTTTGTGACTGATATCACTCCTTCAGCGAATCAAAAAGCAATGTGAAGGAAGATGTGGTTCAACATAATATTTCTCTAGAATTCAACTGATATTTAAACTATTGGTTAGAGCAGAAATCCAAATTTCTCAAGTGATATAAGAACTTTCTATTTAATTTATATTATGCTGGAATCCCAGTGTAGTACTGCAGGTTAATGCACTGGACGGCAAAGTCTGTTGAACCACCACAAGGTCGATGGTTAAAGCTCACCAGCTGCTCCTCAGAAACCCTATACAAAGTTTCTATGAATAGGAATCGACTCAATGGCACTTAACAACAGCAAATGAAATATTAGTCTATATCATTTCAGTAAGCTCAATTTTTAGGACATTTTTCTTCTCATTTGTTTTAAGTAAAAATCAGATCTTGTATTTCATTCATCATTATAAGCCTGTGATATAGTTTTAATTGAATAATTATATCCCACAACATTACTATCCTAACTCATGCACATCACTATCAATACAATTTTCTTTTCTAGTGCAATCACTTGATGCTAGGCTTTTATAGAGAGGAGTTTTGAAAAGTATTACCAACATAGTCTATGACTTCTTCCCCATATACGAATAAAACAAACTAGTGTTAACCTAATTGTATATATTCCTTTTCCCTAAAAGATACTAACAATCTAAGTTTGGAACGTTATTTTCCAACTTAAAAGTTTCACTCAGGAGAGAATTAAATTTTGAAAGGAAATGTTAAGTCATTTCATATTCAATATCATAGGTTTTGTGAGTATTTGGCACAATTTCAAATATTTTATCTTGAAAATCAGGTTCTAAAGTATACACTAATAATCATGAAAATGGAACACAAAAAACTCCAAAAATGGGCGTTATGTTTCATAATTTTAAAGCGTGATTTCATGCCATGTACAATCTCGTCCTCTAGCATCAAGCTGCAAAAATTCATCAAATAATTTAAAGCCAGATAATATTTGCAAAAGGAAACCATTATTAGCACTAGTTTACTAGATTCGTTTTCCCAGCCTTCACTCTTTTCTTTAACACCGAGTGAATTTTTTCTATATCAATGCATCACAGTATTTTTTTTATACTAATAATATTTTTCTTTAAAAAGACTAATTTATTCTTAGCCAATTTTCTTCAATTAGATTTGCCTGCTAATTAGGGTTTTTCATCAGTTGCTCCCTGAAAACCCTATACAGGGTCACTATGAGTAGGAACCAACTCCATGGCACTTAACAACATACATACATATATACAAACATACATAGAGAGAATGGACACCTGGTGTGGTACTATATCAACTCCATGGCACTTAACAACATACATACATACATACATACATACATACATACATACATACATACATACATAGAGAGAATGGACACCTGGTGTGGTACCATATGATCAGCACTCGACGCCAAGATCGATGTGAACCTACAGTTGGTCAAACTCACCAGTCGCTCCTTAGAAACCCAATATAGGGTCACTACGAGTTGGAATTAACTTGATGGTACTAACAACAACAAATTATACTACCTTTGATAACATTACCTATTAATACTAAACCTATTACTTTAGATAACAAAAGACAGCCCTGGTTTACTTGTCTGAAGAGAGATATGCAACTTGGCCCTAGGAGATCTGATCTTATGCTATCTATCTTAGTCAACAACTAGCTCATTAACAATATGCATGCACATTTAGAGGATGAACGTAATATTTCACTGTTACCATTAATTTAAAAATGATTAAATATTAAGATCAACTTTACCTGCAAAATTTAAGATACATTAGACATTTTTATTCGCTATGTATCGTCGTGAAATCAGTTCTAATTCATAGAGTCCTCATGCTTGCTGCACAACAGAATGAATCATTCTCACCATCACTGCTATGTCTGAGCCCACTGTTACAGCGCTGTGTTAATCCACCTTATCATGGGTCTTCTGTTTTTGGCGATCTCCTACTTTACCAAGCATGATGTCCTCCTTAAGGGATGATCTCTCCTTATAACAGTCCAAACTACGTGAGATAAAGTCTCAACTATTCTTGTTTCTAAGGAGCATTCTGGCTGCACCTCTTCTAAGTCAGACTTGTTCGCTCTTCTGAGAGTACATGGTATACTCAGTATTTTTATTAACAACACCATAATTCAAAGGTATCGATTCTTCCTTGGTCTTCCGTGTTCACTGTCCAACTGTCACATGCATATGATTCAATGAGAAAGCTGGACAATGAATAAAGAAGACTGAAAGAGATTCAATACTTCTGAATTATGGTGTTGGCGATGAATTAAAACATAAGATGGCATTGTTCACATTGAAGTAAATCTAAACTTCCAATAATAATGTAAAACTGATATCAAGCTAAACCAAAATAATTTTTAAACAGGAATTGTCAATATTATACGATAATGGACATTTCAGAAAATTTTAGCCAATCACAGGAGTCTCAATAGATTCTACAAAATAAGTCTTGCTAATTTTCAAAAATCGAAAAATTTCCAAATTGAATCTGCTGAAAACCATTTTCAGATATTTCTCCCTATATACTACTGTCAAATAGAAATTTAGTATTAAGGTCTGTTACCTTAGGCAATTCCCATTCTGATCGAGATCCATCTGCACTGTAGTAATATTGTCTACCTTGATCATCAACATGCTTGAGCCACTACAAAAACAAAACAGGTGTCAATTTATTTGAAATAAAAGCATTTTTAAACTGATACAATCAAAGATATTAGCTCTGATGCCTATAAACTTTATTTTACTTGTTTAAGGTGATGCTACTCATGAACACTGAAAACAATTTTAATGAAATTATTAAGAGTTAAGGATGTTGTTGTTGTTGTCAAGTGCCATCAAGTTGATTCTGACCCATAGCGACCCTGTACAGGGTTTCCAAGGAGTAGCTAGTGGGCTTGAACTGCCGACCTAGCAGTTCAAATGGCTTTGCAGTCTGGCGCATTAACCCACAGTGCCACACCAGGACCAAGTATACTAAATATTAAATGTGAGTTTATCTTCTCTCTCATCTAATGTCATCTATGTCACACTAAGGATTCACGCACAACTTAACAATATACTGGATGGACTGTGTGAATCACAAGGTCAGTGGTTCAAGCCACCAGCTCCTCCACAGAAACCCTACACAGGGTCACTATGAGTCAGAACTGACTTGACAGTACTTAACAGCATAGATACACAGATGGACACATGCACTGGACCAAAAGTACAAAGGTAAGTAAAAATATATATATTGCTACAAAATCATAGAAATCTTTATTTTTAAAAAATCAAAATACGAAGCTATTGTTTCTCAACATTCCATTCACCTAGATCTATACACTTTTGAATGCAGTATTTCCATTTCTTCCCCAGAAGAATTCTATGCTCTGCTATTTACATCCAAACAACTTTGGTATCCTTGTTGTTGTTGTTGTTGTTAAGTGCCTTGAGGGACTCAAATCATATTCCTCCAAATGTCCTTTGAGTTTGGGGAATACAAGGAATTCTGAAGGGACAAGATCAAGTCTATACAACGGATGGGGTATGGTTTCTCATCAAAATTCTTTTATGACAGGTGTTGCAACCTTAGGAGAATAAGCAGTTGCATTGTCATGATGGAAAAAAAAAATTCTCAGCTTAACTTTCCTGTCCTTTTCCTTCATAATACACAGTTTTCAATTTTCTGAAAATTTCTCAAGTTCCCATGAGCATCCTGTACCCTTTAAGAAAAATCTATCAAGAATACCCCTTTAAAATCCCAAAACTCAGTGGCCATAACTTTCTAAAATGCTCTGTTTTGCATTAAGGTGGCATGCAGAGCCCCTTGAAGTCACTGCTTTGATACTTTGCTCTCTGGATTGTCCTGATATATCCAAGACTTGTCCTCGGTTATAAATCATTCCATGAAAATCACTGTCATTAGCTTCACTCTTGCTTAAAAAACTGATAGTAAGATAAGCTCTTTGAGTTAAATGATCTTCATGCAATGTTTCTGGCAGTCATTGAGCTGAAAATTCACTGAGGGCAAGATGTTAACTTATAATCTTCAAGTGTCAAACCACATAAGATCCCAACTTCAGTAGCCAGTTGGGTAAGATTTTTTAATAAATCAATGTATTTATATAGTTTTCTTCTACCAGTTTCTGGACTTGAACACCAGTTTCTTGTTCATTGAAGTTAAATGTCTTCCCTCTCTTGGCTCATCTTTGAGATTTTTTAACCTTCTTTAAAATGCTTGACCCATCTAAAAACTGTTGATTTTGAAGGGGTAACATTCCCATAAACTTGTTGCACTGCTTCAATGATTCGGGAAGATGTTTACTTGAATTTTGTGAAAATTTTGATATTAGCCCTGAACTCAAAATAAATTTTTTCCATGGCATAAAAAGTATCCATTTTTTTAACGGCACCCTAACAAGACTAACACAAGTGTACTACTGAATGTCTACAGCCATTCACTGATGGCAGAGATATGTTTAAACATTTTGTTTGGCATAAGCCTATGTGTGTAGGAACCCTATCAGCAATATTTTTTTTTCCATCACCAAAACAGGATTAAGAAATTAGCTAAAGGAAACCTTATCATATAATACAGGGAATATGAGATGGGGGAGACAAGGACTGCTAATGCAGAACAACTGATCTTGATGGTTAAATTAATAAAAACTACAGCGGTTTGAAACTACCAGCTGCTCCGCGGGAGAAAGATGAGGCTTTCTACTCCCGTAAAGATTTACACCCTCGGAAACCCTATACAGGGTCGCTATGGGTCGGAACCGACTCGATGGCACATAACAACAACAACAACTGTTCCCTTGGAGTCCTGGTATGGTGCTGTAAGATACACACTGACTGCTAACCACAAGGTTGGTGATTCAAAACCACCAGCTGCTCCTTGGAAACTCTATACAAGGTCGCTATGAGTCAGAACCGACACAACAACAACAACACTGTTCCTTTATATTCTATTGTCAAATATTAAGGCAGGAGATAAGGAGAAAATCCTAGCTCCCCCTCACTTACTCCCAATGGTCTGTTCTCTAAACTATCATAACTAACCAGTTCTACAGCAGACGATACAAGATGTAACATACACATAAAATTTCGATATTCATCCTCAATCTAATTAATTAACCATAAAATACTAGATTCATGGTTTTTGTCTTATAAAATTTTGGTTATAATAGAAAAAGGATAGCCAGTGAGGTGGTGTATGATAATGGCACACTGAAAAAACGATTCCCCCACCGAAAGATGTAAAGCAATATGCTTATTAAAGAAGTCCAGATAGAATCACATCCATTAAACGATCTACTCTTAAAACAACTATCTTAAGGGGAATCAACACAACAAAAATCATTATCAGCACAAGACATTTAAAACCATGAATCAGTTACATTGAGCTTTCACAGCAATTGGCAAAATTATGGAAATACAATTAATTTTCTCTGGTTTTATTTAATACTACTAAAACTTCAGTATGTAGCTATTTTATAAGAGGATTCTGCCAAGAAACACTAGATGAGAAAAAACAAATGTACCTTTTCATTAGTATAGTCACTGGTATATAAGGTATGCCCACGTTCATCCAACTCTTCTGACCAACCCCTTGGAGGAGAACCACACTGACTATCTGACTGGCTGTAACAAATGCTGTGGTAGTTTTCTTCTGATGAAAGAAGCTACAAATAGTCAGAAACATAAGGAGTTTTCTTCTTTGAGTATAAATATTCAGCAACTGAAATTCTAAGAGATCAACTTTACTTGGTTTAAGTATATTTGAATATTTAACTTGTAAAACAAATTAAGACTTTAATCAATTTATCAAACATAAGAGATACAGTTAATAACAGCAATTTTTTCATTAGTGCAACCCTGAAAAAATTAACTGTAATAGAAATGAAAATTGAGTTTTCTGTCCAAGGAGATGTTGCATTCAATTTAATTCCACTTTCAAAATAAAGTCAGACTAAAAATGACAGAGGTGTGTATGTACATCCACACCTAGAGTTAAGGAGAGGAGGGTTTCATTCGACTACGCTCCTTGGAAACTCCCACACTCACCTACTTATCACAAATGCCTGAAAAACAAGCGCTCAACAGTTACTTCTGAAACTATTTTTGTGAGGAGGGTATACAAAAAACTACTAGTTTCGTGCCACCATATTTTATATTCTCATCTATTGGTGAGTTTTCCAAACTCATTCAGCCAGGTGCTTTTTAAAGACTGTTGGAAACTAAATTTCAAAATAAGAGAAAAAATATTGAGAAAATCCAAATACAATACTGAATAAGATTAGAAACTACATTTGGAAATAATAGAAGGGAATGCAATGGCTCTGGAAGATAAAACACTAGGCTGCAAACCTCAAGGTCAAAGGTTCGAGCCCACAAGCTGCCCTGAGGGAGAATGATGAGGCTCTTTCTGCTCCCACAAAGATTTACAGCCTTGGAAACTCTATATGGGCTTTCTATAAATCAGAACCAACTGTACAGCACTTACCAACAATAACAAAAGTATGATAAACTCCAAAGATGCTAAAGAAGTTAAAAGACTGGGAAAACAAAAATTAAGGCTTTTTTCTCAAACTCTATAGTGTGCCTAAGTAACACTCTACTTAACTGCACTTTAAATTCATTCATTCAACAGATACTTCAAAGATTAACTCCCATGTGTAAATGATGCTATCACCTCTAGGTATAATCATTTCTACATTTAAATCTTACTCAATCAGACTTTACATCTCCGTAGCTTGGTCCGAGACAGTAATGGGGAAGATTCTCAATGTGGTAGAAGAAACTTAAAGGCATAAATAGGCTAATAATAATAAGATCGCCATCGCAAAAACAGACAGACACAATTAGGCAGAAACAATGCATAACGAAATTCTTTTGAAAAAGAAAACAGTTCCAAAAAACTGGAAAACCTAATTTAAAATTAGAAGATATATTATAATTTAATTAAGACCACAGAAAACATAAGCTCATGTAGAAAAAGAATAAAATCTTTTAGGTAAAGAATTTGAGGACTAAAGCACACCTGATCCAAGCCATGGTATTTTCAATCACCTCATATGCATGTGAATGGTGGACAACGAATAAAGAAGACAGTAGAAGAATCAATGCATTTGAATTATGGTGTTGGAGAAGAATACTGAAAACACCATGGACTGTCAAGAGATTAGGTCAATCTGTCTTGAAAGAAGTACAGATAAAAGAGTCCTTAGAAGCAAGGATAGTGAGCACTGCCTCTCTAATACTTTGGACATGTTGTCAGAAGATCTGTCCTTGGAAAAGAACATCATGTTTGGAAAGGTGTTAGGTCAACCAAGAGAAAACCTCCCCCTCCCCAGCAACATGGACTGACACAATGGCAGCAACAACGGATTCAAACGTAACAGTGATTGTGAGGATGGTACAGGACCAGGCAGTACTTGTTTTGTTGTGCATAGAGTCGTAATGAGTCCGAACCGACTGGATGGCACCTTAACAAGAAGAAATAGTAACATGCCAATATTAAATTCTGGGGTGTGATAAATGTATTGTGGTTTTGCATGAAAAATGTCCCTTTACTTATGAAGTTGTCTGCTTCAAGTGATTCAGAAAAAAAATTTTCATGCACATGTGCGTCCGTGGGTGAGTATAAGGTACTTGTAGGAAGGGAGTAAAAAATAAATATAGCAAATGTAGCAAAACATTAACAATTTTGTTAAAACTTTTGTATGGGATCAATAGTCTATGTTGTGGTTAAGTCCCGTAGAATCAGTTCCAATTCATAGCGACCCAGTATAAGGTTTCCAAGGAGAGGCTGGACCGCAGACCTGACAGGTGAAACTGACTTTTCAGTCCAGCACATTATCCCACTAGGACTCCTAGACTGTAGTATTCTTTCAACTTCTCTGGAGGCTTAAAACTTTTCAAAATACTAAGATCGTGTTTTAGTTATCTAGTGCTGCTGTCACAGAAAATAACACAAATCAGTAATTTTAACAAACAGAAATTTATTTCCTCCAAGTTTAGGAGGCTATAAGTCCAAAGTCAGAAGGTCTGACTCTAGAGAAAGGTTTTCTCTCTCTGTCAACTCTGCTGAAAAGATCGTGTCTCTTTTAGTTTCTAAATCTGGGTGATCTTCATGTGGCTTGGCACCTTTCTCAATCACTGCTTTTCAGCTTGCTTAATGTCTTTTCTATCCCCAGAGACTGACACATGACACAGTCTGACACTAATCCTACAGGATCAACATAACGAAGACCACTCATTCCCAAATGGGATTAAAGCCATAATGCACAGAGGTTAGGATTTGAAACACATGTTTTGGGGGGACATAATTCAATCCGTAACAGATGGGAGCTGTCTTGAGTATCATAGGATGTGCACCATAATCTCTGGCCTCTAATCAAAAGATGCCATTAGCACTTCCCAGTTGTGACAACCAAAATTGTCTCCAGACATTATTCAATGTCCCCTGGGAGGCAAAATCGTTCCAAATGGAAAACACTATTCTAGGTGTGGTTGTTGTTAAGTGCCACTGAGTCGATTCTGGCTCACAGAGACACTATATAGGGTTTCCAAGGAGCAGTTGGTATGTTTGAACTGTTGAACTTGTGGTTCGAAGTCCAGTGCTGATCCAACAACCGCACCACACCAGAAGTCAGTCCACGGTAGCAGAATAAATACTAACATAATACTCTGTGGAGTTAACATAGAATACTGAATATTTGCTCTTCCCAACACCCACTAAAATAGCTATAAAGAAGTCTGCTTAAGAAGACATAAACTAACAAGAACAGGGAGAAAAGAAACGCAATAAAAGTTACAAAACTGGAAGCTGAAAAACAGATGAACAAATAATTGAATTATAAGACTCAAGAAAGCATGGTAAGATGAACAACAAGTTTTTCACAGCAGATTCCTTAAACAGCTCAGCAAGTGACAGAATTACCTAGCTCTGGAGGTGAAGGCATGAGTACTAAATTATGACTAAAATTCCCAGAATCCCTTTCTTCTTCTTGTGCTGTTTGTGTACAGGAACACAACAATCCCCTTTATCCTAGAGTAAGTACAGCAATTAATTTTTTGGAAGAAGGAAAAATAGAAAGATTCTGGGTTAGCAAATAACAGGAGCAATTGGGACGTGGGCATCCAAGAGACAAGAACATTAAGGAACACTATGCAAACTGAATGTGGACTATTAAAACCCCGGGAGCTCCTCCTTTCTGGAAGAGGATTTCATGATTCATATGGAGAATCTGAAGAGTCCTGTTAGCACAGTGGTTACGTACTTGGCTGCTAACCGAAGCCAACAGTTTAAATCCGCCAGTTGCTCCAAGAAAGAAAGATGTGGCAGCCTACTTCAACAAAGATCACAGCCTTGGAAACCCTTTGGGGCAGTTCTACTCTGTCCAACAGGGTCATCATGAATTAGAATCAATTTCACAACAACAGGTTTATGGAGTATCTGACCAGTCCCAATAAGAAAGACTAAAGGGTTAACATTCCCCAACAAATAGTTGATCCAAATGCCCATATAATACAGTTCAAAATACCCTGTAATTGTGAGAGAAAATAGTTTTCAACACAGAATGCTATACTCAGGTAAACTATCAAAATTAAATATGAGTGCAAAATACAGACATTTTCACACACACATATAACAAGTGTTGATTTTATCTTCCATGAACCGTTCTCAAGAAGCTATCAGAATATTTATTTCAGCCACTTAGAAATCTATTTCTATATAATTTGTGACGAGACTAGTAGTGTAAGGTAAGACTCTGACAGACAAATCACTTTTATTTACTTACTGAAGCAGAAACATGTAAAAGTTCCTTTGTGTATTATAAAATACAACTCCTTTGAACTACTCTAAACTTTAGCCCTTTCATATTCTCTAAATTTTAGAATGTACTTTATTACTAATGATATACAGGATGGTTTATTTCTAAATCTTTCTAGATCTGCAATCCAAATAAAATGTTCTAATAGTTGTTTGTTTTTTAAATCATAATCACCCATTGGCAATTTCTCTGACTATTCTCACATTTATTCTTGAACATGAAGATACCACCAAACCAAAGTTATAAATAACCAACTGTAAAATATGACAAGAAGGGATGAGGGTGTTATTAACTGCAAAAAGCTTCTGATAAAAACAGGTTGTGTTACCTGATATTTCTAGCTCTTAATCTCACTGGATCTCTGCTTTTTTGTATAAGTCAACTTCACTCTATAGAAAGCAAAGGGTCCTCTGCAGTTGCAAGTCCCCTGTCTACCAAACAGCAGGATTGCACTTCATGATCTCAATCATATACAGCTTCTCCAGTACTTCTAAACAGTCCTAAGGCATCTCTCCAGATTACTGAGAAATGGTTAATTCATTACATCATCTCCAAAAATATGGGAGTAGGTGAAGTCAGGGAAGGGAGTAAGAACAGTATGAGACTAATTTAAAAAATGATTTTAAAGTGATCAGTCAGACTTACAGAATGATCCAACTGTAACAAAAGCATGCTTACTGCCTTTTGTTAATATGTAACTCTAATCAAGGTAATTCTCAAGCTAGTAAGCACACCACAATGTTAGCCACTACTATCCATTACCTAGAGATTAGAAGGTAACTAGCATTGATACGTTTCAAAAGAATATTTAGTATCTTAAGAGATGTCAAATGCTCTACTATGTTGATAATAACTAACAAACCCATCATTTCTTTTGAATTTAAATAATGAAACCAAAAAGGATGGTAACTGTGACTGGTTGATTCCCTAATTATTCATACCTCTTGATCTCCTGCACTTGGGAAATCTCCTTTGCTTATGGTTGCATCTCTAGTCCAGCGAGGTGGTTTCCAAGTTCTTTCCTGTGTTCCTCTGTTATAGTAATAGGAACGTCCAGAAATATCTTTATGAGTTTCCCATTCTCCATTAATCTGAATTGCTGGGCTTCCAGGAAGTGGAGGAAGAGCAGACTGGGATATTTTCAGTTCTTGTAGATTAGCATACACAGGAGAATCTGGCCTTCCTTGATTTGGAGGTGTAGTTGCCTGTGAAACAGAAATTTTAAATATTCAAATTTAAAGTGACATAACATTTACAAATTAAAACTGAATGAAACGTAGGTTCAAAAACATGCATATGGATTCACTTAAAAACACATATGCAGATAGATGCATTCTAAGAAATTAACAATCTAACAGTTTTAATATTCAAAGTCTGATGGGAAAAATTAAACTTCTATTAGAATCTAAAATGTGCTTAATATTTCACTCTGAAATAATACTTAACTAGGAGTTAGGAGCTGTGGGCTCTTGTTCTATATTTGGCATTAAGGAATTATACTATATTGGGTAAGATCATCTCAACCTCACCTCTCTTAAGCAGAATTCTCTCACTTCTTTAAATGAGGGTATCAGACTAATTCACCAAGGTCTCCTTTGGCTCTAAAGTTCTATTCTTTTAGGCAATTTAAAAAATGCAAAGTCTTAAACCTGGTAAATCAGAACTTATTCAGAAAGCAATCAAAAGAAAGATTTATAATCTAAGCTCTAATATTAAAGCATGAATATAAGTCAAACATAAAAGGATAACAATACTTAAGCAAACAATGTACTACAATCTATTTCTTTTCAGTTATAATTTCTCATTGGCAGTAATAATCTCTTTCTAGTTTCCTTATTTGCAAAAGCTCTAAAAGCAGAAAAATAAAAATTAGCAGCAACTCTCTGATTTACATGTGTGGTGCTATAGGATAAGTTCTCAACTACAAGGTCAGTTTGAATTGCATGATTGGTGGTTCAATCTCAGCAGACACTCTTTGGAAACTCTATCCAGGGCCACTCTGAGTCAGAACCGACTCAATCATGCTTAATAAGAACAATCTTAACCTACAGATTTACTTTTTTAAAGTCTCACTAGATGTCAGTCAAGAGCAAAATACTCTCCATACACTTTGCCTAAGGAAAGGGTAAACTGAAGTCACACAGAATTCTAGTGGCTAAAGAAAGAAAAGTACATGTGTGAGGATACCTTTTGTATTTGTATATTTCCCTTACCTTTTATGACAGGATTTCTAAGCTTCAAGCACTATTGACATTCATGGACACTTCATTTTTTTGTTGTGGGGTGCTGCCCTGAGGGTTGTGAGTTGTTCTGCAGCCTCAGAAGCTCTGGTAGCGTAGTGGTTACAAATCAGGCTGCTAACCTCAAGGTCGGCAGTTTGAAACTACCAGCGGTTCCACAAGTGAAAGATGAGGCTTTCTGCTCCCATAAAGATTTACAGCCTCGGAAACCCTGTGCGGGGCCACTATGAGTCGGAACTGACTCCACGGTACTTAACAACAACTAAAGTACCCAGTAGTTGGTAGAAGCAACCCCTCTCTTCTAGCATACACTATACCCCAACCCCAACCAACGTGTGACAAACAAGTCTCAAGATAACACTGTCAAAATTGTCTCCACTTAAAGAATCAATGCTTTACCTTAAATGCATGCAAAAGTTATATTCAGATGGTTACTAGAATGTCATAAATACCTAGGAATATTCATAGAATATTGAAGTGAAAAGGATGAATGTGGATGGATACACTGAAAAACTCCTCTGTCAGTTTGTCGTACTGTGGTGGCTTGTGAGTTGTTGTGATTCTGGAAGCTATGCCACCGATATTTTAAATTGGGTCAGCCACAGTGGGCAGGTTTCAGATGCGCTTCCAAACTAAGACAGACTAGGAAGAAGGAAACATGGAATGCTTTTGAATATTTAGTCAATGAAACCCGTATGAATTGCAGTGGAACACTGTCCGATAGCACAAGAATACTAAATAATGAAACATGATGAAAAGCACAAGAATACCATCAGATATAGTATGGGCAAATGAGCCCCTCAGGCTAGAAAGCACTCAAAATACGACTGGAAAACCTGCCTCCTTCCTACAGTTAACTTTGATGACGCGAATGGAGGGAAGTTTCCGGACCTTCATTTGCTGATGGGGCACAACTCAAATCAGGAGAAACTACTGTAAATATCCATTAAAAACTGGAACATGGAACGTACGAAGTATGAACCTAGAAAAATCAGAAGCGGTTAAAAATGAAACAAAATAGATAAAAACCAATATCCTAGGCACTAGTGAACTGGTATTGGCCATTTTCAATCTGACAATCACATGGTTTACTACGTCAAGAATGGTAAATTGAAAAGGAATGGCATCACATTCATCTTCATAAAGAACATATAAAGATCTGTCATAAAGTACAATATTGTCTGTGACAGCATAACATCCATATGCCTAACAAGGAAAACCAGTTAATACCACTATTATTCACATTTAAGTACCATCCACTAAAGTCAGTGATGATGAAACTGAGAACTCTACCAGGCTTTTGATTCTGAAACTAATCAAACATGTAACCAAGACATACTGTAATTACTGATGGTTGGAATGCAAAGGTAAGAAACAAGAGCAAGTTTCAGTCACTGGAAAACACGACACTGATGATAGAAATGATGCTGCAGATGGCAAGACAGAATTTTGTTAAGACCAATGACTTGCTCATTGCAAATACCTTTTTTACACAGTGTAGAGGATGACTTTGCACATGGACATGAACAGATGGAATGCTGTTGTTGCTGTCAAGTGCCATCGAGTCAGTACGTATTCATGGCGAACAATGCACAACAGAATGAACAAATGCCTGGTCTTGGGCCAACCTCACAATTGTTGCTATGCCTGTGCCCATCGCTGCTACCACTGTGCCAACCCATGCTGGTGGGGTTCTTTTTCTCTGACCTTCCACTTTACCAAACACAATATCCTTCTCAGGTGACTGATGCCTCCTGATTATATGTCCAAAGTATGAGAGACGAAGTCTGGCCATCCTGGCTTCCAGGGAGCACTCTGGCTGCACTTCTTCCAACACGGATCTGTTTGTTCTTTTAGCAGCCCGTGGTACTTTCAATATTCTCCAACACCATTACTCAAATGAATCAATTCTTCGGTCTTCCTTACTCACTGTCCAGCTTTCACATGACATTGAAAATACCATAGCTTGGTCAGGTACAACTTAGTCCTCAAACTGACATCTTTGCTCTTGAACACTTTAAAGAGGTCTTGTGCAGCAGATCTGCCTGATGCAATACTTCATTTGATTTCTTGACTGCTGTTTCCATGAGTGTTGATGGCTGATCCAAGTAAAATGAAGTTGTTAACAATTTCAATCCTTTCTCCATTTATATGGATGTTGTTTATTGGTTCAGTGTGAGGATTTCTGTTTTCTTTACAATGATATGCAATGCATAACTAAGGTTGTGGTCTTTCAACTTCATCAGTATTTTAAGTCTTCTTCACTTTCAGCAAGCAAGGTTGTATGATCCGTATATCGCAGGTTTTTAATGAGTCTTCCTCCAATCCTGATGCCACATTTTTCTTCATATAACTCAGCTTCTCGGATTACTTGCTCGGCAAACAGGTTGAAAGAATACATCCCTGTCACATACCTTTCCTAATTTTATGCCATTCAGTGTTCCCGTGTTCTGTTCAAACAACTGCTTCTTGCTCTATGTACAGGTTCCTCACAAGCACAATTAAAGGTGAAATTGTTAGGATTTAAGCCTGGGTGCTGAAAATAAGCCCTGGTAGCACAGTGGTTAAAGTACTTGGCTACTAACTGAAACATCAAACCCACCACCTATTACACTGGAGAAGTATTTGGCAGTCTGCTTCCAAAAATTTCAGTCTTGACTCTCTTGGACACTTCTACAGGGTCACTATGTGTCGGAATTGACTCAACAGCAAGGAGTTTTGGTTTTGTTTGAGTGCTGAAACATGAATAAAACATCCAAGAATCTTATGAGCTTCACTGCTGCTGTTGGTGTTGTTGTTAAGTGCTGCTGACTCGGTTCTGACCAATACACATCAAGAACATCATAAATGAAGAAAGTAAAATTATTAAGTACACAAGAAAGAAAGAAAAGACCAGAATGGACGCAAGTAAAATTTTGCTAAAAATAACTGAAAAAAAGGCTGCAATAGTACATTGACAGGGAATTGCCAGAAGTTCAAGCCAGATTCAAACAAGGGCGTGGAACAAGGGTTATCACCTCTGACGTCAGATGGATTCTGGCTGAAAGCACAATATATCTCAAAGATGTTTACCTGTGCTTTAGTGACTATGCAAAAAGATTGTGAGGATAATGACAAGCTATGGACAACACTGTAGAGAATGAGTATTCCTAAACACTTACTTGTACTCATAAGGAACCTGTACATAGACCAAATGACAGTTGTTTGGACAGAAAAAGTAAACAATGAATGGTTTAAAATTAGAAAAAGTATGGACAAGGATTGCATTGTTTCACCATATTTATTCAATCAGTATTCTGAGCAAGTAACTTGAAAAGCTGGATTACTTGGGGGGAAAAAATACATTGCATTGGGACTGGAATAAGACTCGTTAACAACCTGCAATATGCAGACGATATAATCTTGCTTAATGAAAATGAAAAGGACTTAAAATAGTTATGATAAAGATCAAAAACCAGAGTCTTCGGTGTGGGTTGTACCTCAATGTAAAGAAAAAAACCTCACCAATGAAACGATAAATCAAATCAAGATAAATGGATAAAAGATTGAAGTTGTCCAAGATGTCATTTTCCTCAGATAAACCAGCAACACTCATGGAAGTAGCAGTCAAGACATCAAATAACATATGAAATAGGCTGTACAAAACCTCTTTAAAGTGTTCAAGAGCAAAGATGTCAGTTTGAGGATTAAGGTGCTCCTGACCTAAGCCATGGTATTTTCAATAACCTTATATGCATGTAAAAGTTGGAGAATGAAGAAAGAAGGCTGTAGAAGAATTGACGCACTTGAGTTATGATGTTAGAGGATAATATGGACTTCAATAAGAACAAAAAAATATGTGATGGAAAATGTATAGCCAGAAAATTTATTACAAGTCAGGATGATCAGACTTTTAATCCAAATGATTAATGAGAGAATATCAGAAATAGACAATACTCTGAAAGGGCAAAGGGGTCAAATACAAG